ATAATAATATATTTACTTTATTTATATCCGATAATATTATATAAAATTTAGTAATAATTTTAAATTAAAATATGATTAATAGTGTAATATTAACGGATTTGCAAAAATTAGATAAAATAGATACAAATTTATAATCGGTAATAAGTATTCTTTATTTTAATAATGCTTTATTTATTTTTCAAATATTATTATAATAATTCCCGGCAATATTTTATTTTATAATAAATATAGAGTATAAAACAATAAATTGTACATTTAATTCGTAATATTTATCAAAGAATTAATATTAATAAAGATAATATAATGTGGATAAGTAGTTTAGGAGGTTAATGGAAATTCAAATAAGAGATATTAATATTAATTATATATAAATTAAAAATACATTTGGTTTAGATATTATTGGTGTTGTTAACAAAAAAAAACTAAATTATGCTAAACGAACGAAATTTCCCCAATATTAACTACCATTTTTTGGTCAATAATTATTTAGAATAAATATAAATAACAATTACCAAAACAAAAGATTTAAACACCATCATTTTTTAATATATAATATATATTTAATTAAAATATATTTTATATTATATTAAAAATTATATTAAATTATACAAAAAAAGAAAATAATAAAACACAATATATCTAAAACAGATTATATAAATACTCAATAATTTTTATAAAAAAACATATAATTACTATAAATACAATTTTATTATTAATATAAAAAAACAAAAACATAAAAAACTAATATTATAATAAATTTAATATTATAAAATAAAAATAATAAAAAATATATATTAAATAATTTTATATTATTCTATAAATAATATAATTATAATAATAAATAATAAATAAATAAACATATTATATATTTTATCTATCTAACCTAATCCATCTTTCCGCCATAAATATTCCCCCAAAATTTCCGTTAAAATTAAATACTACGAAAAAACCTTTAACATCACCTCAAAATCATTATAACATTAATTTCTGCTATTTACATTCCTTTAATAGAATTCTATAAATCCGAAAAAAAAATCATTAACCAAAAAAAACAAAATAACTCAAACCTTAAATCCCTATAATATTATCTTTTCTAAATATTTTTTTTAATAGAATGTAACAAAGTACGACTATCGTAATCGTACCTAATAAAGCCAATCATTAAAAAACAATCCAGCCGTTCAAAAACCATTCAACCACCAAAAAACCATTCAACCAATTAGAACCAATCAATTAACCTCCACCAAGAAATCATTTAACCTCTTAACTTCTCAACCATTTAACCACCAAAAACCACTTAAACCCAACCACTTAACCTCCACCAAAAGACCACTTAACCAAATAATAACCACTTAATTTTTCAACCGAAAACCACTTAACCATTTAATCACTCAACCAACAAAAAACCATTTAACCACTCAACCACCAAAAAACCATTTAACCATTCAACCAACAAAAAACCATTTAAAAACCATTTAGCCCATCTTAAAATAACTAAAAACTACTTTCAAATCTAATATTATTTTTATATATACTCAATTCATAATTCAAATTGTAAACCTTAATATTATTATATTCATAAAATCAATATTAATATATCCTAACACATAAATCCTTCATATATATAATCCTAATATAATACTTATCATTTGCTCATACAAAATTATTTATAATTAAATAAAATTTCAATTTTAATCAATCCAATCAATATCTTACAAGTAAACCTCAACCTTGCGTTTCCTCTATACATTTAAATTATTTATGTTTAAATTCATTCATAATTCGATTCTAATATTACCAATTTCCAACATACAAAAATCATTCCCCAATTACTCTATATTCAATCAATTACAATCAAAACAAACAATTTAAACTAATTTAAACTGAAACAAACCAAAACAAACCCAAACCACCCACCGATTATACATATTCCATTTTTGAAATTAAAATTATATACAAACCCAATCTCTTAACACAATAATCATATTTCTTACTACAAACAAACCACCACCATATATTAAAATTATTTAATAACCATAAACACATAAAACAATAAACAAATAAAAAACAGACACCTTAACCAAAAACAAATCAATCAAACTATGTCTAACCATAAATTACTATAGTTAAAATAAACACAAACCCAACCACCATAAACCATAACAACAAAATCTTATCAACAACACCAAAAAAAACCGAACCACAACAATTTATTATACTTCAACTAACATTATATGCCACAAAATAAAACAAAACACATTAAATCGCTAAAATTCGGAAATCTTTGATTTATAAATTCTTCCTATACACCCTATATCATAATATAACCGCCGCAAATAAGCGTGGTTAACCATTCATAGCTATATTTCCTTTCAACATTTTTCTAACACAAGCCGAGCTCTCGACCCAAATCCGACACCCGGATCCGGGACCTAGATTCGGGACCACCCGTAAATAAACCCAGGACCCGGGACCCAGATCTAAGACCCGGATTTGTGACCACCCGGATCTGGCAGGACCTGAATCCAAGACCCGGAGCCGAAACCCAAATCTACGACCCAAATCTGGGACCCTAGCCAAGACCCCGATCTAAACCCCTTTAAAAACAAAGAGCAACGAAAACAACTACAGCGAGCAATTGTGACCACTACAAAACCATAACTACTAAACCATGCTTCCATTAAACTCAAGGTAGCCTTCAAAAAGCAATGTCCTATATTAGCATAAAAGCACAGACTAAAAAAGACACCTATACAATCATCACAAAAAAAATAATTTTCACCTCTGCAAAAACACCAATTCATACACAAACCCATACTTTTCATATATCTTTTTTCTCTCATTTTTACACATGTTGTTTTCTCGTGCCTATTCCTCTCTAAGTTTCTCTCAAAAAATGACCTTGTTAAAAACCGATAATCATCACAAAATGACTCATTAAACTACAGTACATCTTTAGAGGGTGGCAGCCTTTTCCACATCCCCTCAACCCTAAATCCTAAAAAAAAAAAACATAAAGCCTCAACCCTAACACAAATCGCACAAACCCCGAATCCTAACAAAATAATCACGTAAACCTAAACGCTTAAACCTTTCCTGAGCCGGAGGTCTCAAGTTACATCAAAATTGTGTCCGCTCTTTATTGTAGTAGTCATTTGAAACGAAGGTAGTTCGCTCATTTACCCCATCTACAGAACTCGTACAAAAATATACGATGATATTTCATTGAATGAGCTTTCTTTTATCAATTCTCTTTGCGAATTTCAATGACCTGGACAAACGAAGCATCCAATGCAGGCCGAGCTGAAGCTGACAACTCCCACCTCGAAGACGTGCTTCCAATCTTGGAAGATGGCCTGGAGGATGTTCCGGACAACTTACTTGAATGAAAAATCATATCCGGGGCATGATGTCTAAATTTGGCTTCAAAACCCCCAACCCCGTTCTAAAGATTTAAGCATTTTTCCAGGAACACTCACAAAAAATGGCCCCAAACCCACATTTTCTACAAGAATGGTCTTCCCTGCTTCGTAACTAAAGGGCAGTAGCAATTGGCTCCGAAATATATGGATTCAAACAGAATTTTGGGGATACTCCTTGGCTTGCCTTTCTCGGACGAGGAAGGTATGGACGGCGTCATCAAGTTCCGAGAAAAGGCGTCCAAAGTCACCGCTCCCATTTCTGGCCGGTCAAACGGCTTACCTCCCACTACAAATGTTATTGTTGGGGTTCGGATGGAAAACATAGTTTTCCACGAAAAGCACCATTGCTCAGTCAAGCATTCAACCCACACAGAAAAAAAAAAGCGGGTAGCTGGAGTACCGCTGATGCATCCAAGCGAAATCAAGCAGCCCCACAAGGGATGACAATGGTTAAGGGGCCTTTTTGGCGACCTGGTGACGCCCTTTAGCAAACAAACAATCACATGTCTGCCGCACGCATTGCTCTAACAGTGTTTGACTTCGGCTCTTGTCCCCGAAGACCTGTCCTGGCTGGCTTCATCTTGGCTTCCCCTTCAGTCCATCCAGAATGTTCGCTGTTGAAAAATTGCCGAGTCGGACCCGCAAACCAGCTGGCCTTGCATTTCCTTGCGTTTGTGGTCCCTTTCTTTAGGCAACACGGGCCCTTCCGGTCACCCGTTCCTCCCAAGCATGAGACATCCAACTTTCCGGAGGTCATCCTCTCGCCCAACTGAAAACGCTGCCCAGGTCGAGCAAGGCCGCATTGAGACCATCTGTCGCTTGTCGCTCGAAGCATCTAGTGGGGGCCACGAGCATCCGCGCACCGCAAATAGCCCTGGAGACTGGTGTGATACTCAGAGTAGGGTGCAGTCACGTACTATATGACCCAAGCAGATTGAGGTTTCAGAGTTTTACAAGTTACAGCGGAATGCACGAGGGCGTGCTACCTATGGTTTCCCCTTAGCTTCCCGGCCTCAAAAAACCCCACCCAAGGAACACGCGCGTTCGCTCCGAACTCCGAACCTGCATCAAGCCCTCCCAGGTGCGATCTGGGGGCGGCGGCGCCTAGGGCTGTGTAGGCGACCCGACTTTTGCACGCCCGGCAAACCCGAAATTTGGACATGACACAGTGAGTTTTTATTTTATTTTTCTGGATGAACTTCATTTGAATTTGGTTGGTCCCCTCTCTGACCCAGTGAGTTTCTTTGAATGTTTGGTATTGCTTAAGCACCCAGCAAGTCCAAAGGACAAGTTAAACGAGCACGTTTGAAAAAAGTGCTGTCTTTACTGGGTGTGACACGTTACACGAGCCTTAGCACGAGTAAACAAAGGGTGTCTTTTCATGCTGTTTTCACGAGGTTTTCACGGTCTTCTGGCAGAATCTCGAGGACATCCGCTTCAAAGATGATTTCAAACATGTTTCAATAAACACACTATTTCAAAGGCAGTCTCGCATGTTGCGAGGCTGACCCCAAACAAGTGTGGAACTGTCCCAACAAAACAATTGTGCAACGCCCAGACCAAGATAATTAACAAAGAATGCAAAACACTTAGAACCGCTTAATTAAACAACATCACCAAAGCACCGAGAGATACTAAAAAGCAGCCCCTCAAAAGAACAAAACCTCTCAGGGGCTTTCTTTTGGTTTCGGGGGGAAAAGACACACACACACACACACACATGTCGAAAGGGCAACATTTGAACAAGCTCCCAGCGCTTCCAGGCGCTCGTTTAACTGGCACTTTCGCAAAGTGCCCGTTTAACCAGCACTTTGTCATGAATTTCAACACCGTGAAAGGTGCGTGAGAAACCCGTGAAATTATTTCCTCATTCAATTCTATGAAAATTCTAGTTGAAAGATTGAACAAACTCCCCTGGGAAACGAAATCCCATTCAAAGTCTAACTTGACATAAGATAAATCACGTCTAAGCGGAATTATCTTTGAAAATGACTTTGTACTTAAATTCTAATTGAAACTGGAAAATCTAATAGAATTCTGCCCTTACTAATTTCTATGTAAAATGTGATTAAACAATGACCAATTGCTGGGAAAGCCTCCTGGGAAAGGAAACCCTTTGAATCTAATTTGAAACAATATTTCTAATTGCAGCCTCTCCACGAAACGGAAACCCAAACTACATAGAATTTCTACTAGAATTACTTCCTGACTACAGGCCATCTAATTCTTAATCAAACAAAGTAAAGAATTGAACACATCCTCCTCGGAAAGGACACACACACACACACACTTTTTTAAAATCCAACTTCAAATGTCACTGAAGTTTGTTTGAAGATCCTCTCTCAACAGGAGATCCTATTGAAATCCTATTGGAAATCAAACATTCTGCTAGCATGCGTCCCTTGTTCATTTCTACTTACATTCTCATCAACAAGACATGTTCAGTGCAAGTTCCTGTATCCTCGTCTTTCGGTGGGTTCGCTCGAGACAAGCCCTCAGATCTGCGTCAGCGGTCAAGATTGCCGAGTCAGGTTTTCTGGGTCCTGTGTCCCTGCCCCCTCATCGGCCTGCCGCTTCTTGATGAGGTCGTATGCCTTGAGGTCGGGAGACAATCGGCTGTCGTGGAACCGGTGAAACAGCTGGCTGTGTCTCAGGAGGGGACTCCCAAAATGCTTGGTTTCCTGTCGGCTTCCCTGTAAATCACCCCCAAAAAAATCCACCCGCAAAAAGGGTAATTAATGACCGAGCCTCAAAAACAACACACCCAGCTCCTTGAAATAACACCTTCGAAGATCACTTTAAATGTGCCAAACTCTCACTTGATCGCGGCCTTGGTGATCTCGGACATCTTCTCCTCGCACTCCTTCCCACACCTTGGAGATGGGCCCGAAAGTACACATCTGTTTCCCCTTTTGCACGGATTGCTTCATGTTCACCAACCTTTGTCCAGCAGCCCCCGATTTGGACATGAGAGGCCGTCCCCTTGGATCTTGTGGTCCATTTGGGTTGTCCCATCTTCAACAAGCTACCTATCATATTGTCAGTTGCTGGGTATGTGTCAAAGCTTTAAACCACCCCAAAAAAACGCAGGGACACACATACAACCATAGGTGTCCTTCTTTAAAAGAAAAAGATGGCTCTGGTAGATAAGTGAAGCACCAGCTAAACCAGGGCCCTCTATGTTCTAAACAAACCAACCAAAAAGGACATATGCATACAACATGACGACTCAGACGCCGTCCGAGGCGTGCACCCAGGATTGCGATCAGGATGCCATCGGAGGCTCGCATTTCGGTATGCCATCCTGGCCTCGAATCGAGAGGCTAGCGCCTGCCCAAGCATTCTGGGCTGCCCTCAGATCCCCCGTTAAAAGTTTAACTTTTAGTGGGTTAAACGGAAACTACCAGTAAACATTAAACGGCTAAAAAACTTACGGGATGGCTGGGAGCCACCAAGCATTTACCGGAACAGTTGACATGGACACTGCGTGCTGTGTTCTTTTGAGCCTTTCACCATTCCGTTCGCCCTCAACATGGCCGGCTTTCCAAAAACCCGATGGTCCGCTTTGGACTACAGGACCATGCCGATGGCTGAAAACAACTCCCTTGTCTTCCTTCCCTTGCTTGTGCAAAGCCATGACAAACATGCCAAAACCAGGAACCGCCAAAAAATATTGGAAAAATATGAACCAAGAACCTTCTTCGGTGACTTCCCCCCCTTCCACGAATCCGGTGCCTCGCTGGGCGAAGCGCTCTGGCTCAGCTGCAGTAGCTCGTAGGGATTTACCTCGACGCGGCGCTGGGAACGCAAGTGACATGTTGACCCCATTTCAGGTGCCTCGCCTTTTTTCGTGGAGTTGATGCTCATGTTTGTTTTTGTTTTTTTGTGTGTGTGTGCGCGGAGCGGCAGAATACCCTGCCACCACTGTTCCTTAACCGCAGGGGGCACGGGCCCATGGTGGTGACCTGTGCCAACGAAGCTAACCACCATGGGGGAAGCGCGGACTGATCATCCGCGTGTACCTGCGCCAGTGACACAAAGTCCTTTTGGCCCTTGGCTTCTCTCGCTGTATGTGCTTCTTGTTGATTCTGTAGCGGTTTCGATTCTACCGGATGGGTCCAGCCTTGAAGTGGATTCCCAGACAGTTTTGTCTGACTTATTTGATGAACATGGCTACAATATTCAAGACCTGGCCTATTGGACCCTGGAGTCATTACAGCCCACGGCTCGTGCCCTCAATGCGTGGGTTGTCATTCCTGCTGATCATTTTCCTTCGCGTGCCCATGTGATTTGCCCCACCTTGTTCTCTGTCCTGACGCACAAGACCTTCTGCACTGGAGATGTCTTTGCACTATATGCAGAGAACCTGCCGCATCTTTCCGCGCGCAGGTGATCACCACGATTCCTCCTCGACTGCAACAACGATACGCGTGGGGACTACGACTTCAGGATCCTCTTCCTACCGCACGAACCCTGCCCAAGCCTACCAAGGACTGGCTCAAAGCGAGGCCAATTATCTCTTTTTTCCGCACGTGGGCAGCGCCTCTCCTTACGGTCTTCGGGACCCTGATCTTTGAGCTCACGAAAATCACTTTTCCGGATGTCCCGGGCCAGCTATCAGTTCAAGAGCTAGTGCAGCAACTTTGGGATGCATTGTCTTCCGCGGACCCCACGGGGTACATACAATTGGTATCGCAGGACCTCTCACGTTTCTTCACTTCTATTCCCACGGGGCGTTTTCATAAAGCTCTTCATCATCGATATGATCAAGTGGTTGGACTGCGTAATGTTTCTCACTGGTCGGTATATGAGGTCAAGTCGGATCATCGGAGGCGAATGTTCAAAGGTAAGTGGCGCCAACAAACCAAAATCCCACGAATCTTTCGAGGAGAAGATCTACAGATGCTTCTGGACTTTGTCATCAACAACAGCCACTTTGAGATCAATGGATGCATATTTAGACAGGAACGCGGTGTAATTAGCAATGGGATCTCCGGCGGCTCCTCCTCTTTGCAATCTTGTCGCTACCGTTGAAGACTATTTTTGGCATCAGACCATGACTTTGCTACGTTTTCGGCTACCTGATTTCGGAGTGCTTTGGCATGAACGACATGTGGACAATCGCTTTATACTTCTTCGCAGCGCTGCGCCACCTTCGGACGTCCTGCGTAATTTTCTCACGCTGGAATTTTATCGGCCTCCAGTTCTCCTGGAGACACAGAATGACACCAAAGTACTTGGATACATGTGCGACTCCGTGTCGAGGACGATCGCGCCACAACTACCGGAACATCCATCACAGATCCAAGGAGTTCGCAGCGCCAACGATCCCTTCGTGGTCCTCCAGGTCGCTCATTGTTCGTGGAGCGCAACCCTTAGTTCAACAACAAGTTGGACTTCATGCTCTAAAACGGCTGTATGAAGCCCAAGGCTTCAACCCTGACCTCCTAAGGGATGTTCGGCGCCGAACTGCATCAAAAACGGGCCCGTGTGTATGTTGCGTGTCCGTGATCACTTGTGCTGCATGGTGCTGTTGTCTTGACTGATCGATTGCATATGTGAGGTTGGCTCGGACTTGTTAAATTTCTTTTCTTTTCCGTCCTCATGACATCGGTGCCTCCACTTCAACTTGAAGTCACAGCTCCGTCCAAACGATCACCACAGGCGGTGTATACGGTGAGTAGCTTGTTGCGCCCGGATGGAACTGTGCAGACCACCAGCCAGGTGACTTTGGACTAATTTCCCAACTTCATCAACGGCAATGACGTTCAGTTGTTCGTTCAAACGCATGGCACGATGCATCTCCGGAACGTGCAGCAGCACAGCTCATCTCGCCCTATGCGTGCAGTACGAGACCGATCCATTACAGAGATGCAGACTCGCGGCCCAGATCTGCGGCTCCTCGTCGATCCCATGTGAGACTCACTCCTGGACCTCATGGCACACCAGATGAAGAAGATGACTGGGGTGATTGGATGCAGCAAGGGCATCGCCGCCAGGAACGCCTGCATCACGAAGATCAGCGGCGTCCTCGATCTCCCACTGCGCCGCCTGGCCACCACAGCACATCGTCGAACAGCAGGTCAGACAATCAGCCACATATGCTGTACGACTCATTCCGCTTCGTGTGTGCACTCCTTCGGCATTTCTTGGCAGTCATGTTTTCACCCTTCGATCCGGCTTTGAGGTAGAAGAAGTCGCCATCCGGATCAATGATGTGCAGTGATACACTCTGCCTAGCATCGCCGCTTTGGTGTTCCCCGAATCATCTAAATGGAAGCAGTCGTGGGAAACGGTATATCGGAGCCTCATGCCGAGAGCATCATCCGGGATGAGCACAGAGTACGATCGATCTCCGAGTTCGATGCTGATCGTCTACGTCATGGCAACCCAGGAACGTGGACCGCGGAGGTGCTTCGGGATATTTATCGGGAGTTCAACTTATCGGTGGCCGCTTTGCCCGAACAGCTCCGCATTCCATTGGGAGTACTTGAGAAGTGCTGGCCGTACATCCGAAAGACCTCGAAGGTCTACCATCGATTCGAGCCGAACAAGAAGGACGCTCATGGCAATCACTACGGGATCATCTTTTCCTTTGCACCGCGCCGCAGGCTACCCGGCAACTTCCGCACCCAGTCCATCGCGCCGTTCTACTGCCATAACACCGACATCAAATCCGCCATCGGCATCCTGAAGGACGAGGAGCTCATCCGACCCTCGAAGTGGATGGAAGACCCATCCCCAAACAAGATTATACCAACTGGAATGATGTGTGGATCCCACCGGAGGGCTTCTACTGCAGAGGGAGCCTTCAGTCCAATGATGCGACAGTGAAATCTGCTGCGCAGTTTGGAGGGATACGCTCCATGCGTCCCCTTTGCGTAGGAGGAAAGTCCCGCTTGCGACAGGAGCACTGCATGGTTCCGCGTGGCGGCACGTACTTCTCATTATCATGACTGCATTCATAGCAAAGACGGCAGACGGAAGCTCCGATCATCGATTGCGGTTCCAAGCTACGTGGGAATGTTCTGGTGACTATTTCCTGGACAACCTTGTCGCTAGGCGTCGGTACTTTGCCAGCTCCAAAGTTGCTCGGACACTATAGGATGATGTTTTGCAGCAGTCCATCTTTCGTGATCGCAATCATGACGCCGCCTGCTGGTCGGAGTGATCTTCCGAAAAAATACAAGCGTTGACCTAATCTTGTTTGCTGGTTTGAGTGTTTGTGGCACAGAGCCAAGTGGCACAGAGCCAAGTTACACAGAGCCAAGTGGCACAGAGCCAAGTGGCATGGGTTGCACATGCGGTTGCTCCACCTCATGACATATTCGCAGCCGCTTTCACCGATTCCTTACAGCTTGTAGCTTTCACTGTCATGGATCATGGTGACCTTTTACGAGAATGTCGTCACCTTCTGTACGCCATCTCGTCGCAGATCAGTATACTACTGGCTGGATTGCAACGCATTCAAGGACACCAGCGGCACCAGTATAACCCGCAGCCGCCACTGCCTCCGGCTGTACCGCATGTTAATCCACCTCTTCCACCTGTACCGCCTCAAACTACTTCGGAACCTACAAACCCCACGTTGCCGCCATTGCCGCCTCCTCGGACACTGGCACCAATCACGCTGATCGCCACTTCCTCGACTCTGGCCAATGGGAATCCCATCGAGCCCATTAGTGACAGTGCATCCAGGGAGCGCAACCGTAGGAGAAGGTCACGTCGGCGAGAAGTACGACGGCATCGATCGAGGAGCAGAAGTCGCTATACAGAAGACCACTTAACCGACGTGTACTTCCCACACCAGCTAGGCACTCCTCCGAAAGCTTCCCCTGCAGTGAAGGCTATGCCAGCATGCCGTCCGTCCGGACTGCCCCGAGACCGCTGATGCTCCGTGCCGGGTAAAAGATCTCAGCTATGACGCAGCGGTTGTGTGCACATCATCCGTTTCGTGTTGGCTTGTAGCTATCCTTTGCTTGAGTTGTCATTTCCTTGCTTACGGTTGCCATGTGGCTGTCCACGGAATTCGTGACCAACCTGATTAGCGTCCTCAATCAACAATCTCGCCTCTCAAATCACAGCTTCTCTGGACACTTTGAACTATGCCCTCACCGTGAATCAGAGTGCAGAGTTGGTTGCAAGTATGACACTCTGACAACCACGCAACTCGCGTCATGGTCTACGACCACGCATCATCACGGAGCGCATCCTCGTCCGGATCGACATGCCACTCGGGGGACTGCTGCGGAGCATGAAACAAGACATGGAATCACGCCCAGGACTGACCTCGAGGCGAGCCTTCCTCCGCCCAGAATGACTGCACACACCGCACCGAGCGCCAACGTCAACCGGCGGCTTTACACCGACCTCAACCCCGGACCATTCTATTCGTCCACACCCAGGTGCGTCGTCTTTTCGCCCATCTCCCACAGTGGTGCATGGACCTCGTGAACTTTCGCAGGAGTTCACAACGGAGCTTCGCAACGCATACCATGAACCATTTACGGCATGGACGCAAGGAGAGTTGGATGAGATGGTCAGACGCAAGAAGGAGAAGGACGCCAGACCCACCTACAAAACCATTGCCCGCTCCCTTCAGAAGAGCACGGAGGAGGTCAAGGCACAAGTTCACCACTTTGAGGTATATTGGCCTTGTGACAGCACAGGAGCACCACTGCGGACTCCCTCACCCAGCCGGTTTCCTATGCGTCCTTTTATACCTGGCATTATCGTGACTGGAACATCAGAGGATGGCAAAGGCTCGGCAATCCGCACCCAGCATAGCACGGCCTGTTTTCCCGATCGCCTGCCCTCATGTTCGCTGGATTGTCAGGGTCATCATCGGCAGCATCCTCAGTTACGGATGGTGGTTGGCGTGCTCCTTCACCGCCTTATGATCCCGAGTTTGATTGGGGTGAGTGACGCGACATAACAGATGTTGCCGGGCGGAAACCGTTACGTTTGACGTGGTATGTTCTTTGGGTGCTGCGCCGCCTTGGTTTTGCTTGGTTGTCATTTTTGTGTTACATGGCATGATGCGTTGGTAGCCTGCAGCCGTGTACTTTTCAGGTCCGATATAGCACAGACATGCCGTGGTTAGAGCGGTGCCCTGACCCTCAACAACCTGACGCTCAATGGGTCAAAGTCTTTCACCCAGGTTCATGGACATTGCAGGAGCAACTTGAAGAAGCCCCCCTCCTCGCTATACTTATCGGGAATGGAAGCAGCGGCAGTCGAATCTACGGTCCTCTCACGGTACAAACGCGACTGGACTACGGAAGGATATCGGCGCTCCTGAACCTGAGCGGGACCTGGCTTCGTTTCTTCCTCCTGACCATCATAGCGTTGCTACACAGTCATCACCCCTGGCCATGTCCCCGCAACTGCTTGAAGCAATCTTACGATCCTCTGATTCTCCACTGAGGATCTGACCCGTATGCAGGCGGGTATTTCCCAACAACTTGCAGATCGACTACGACAAGCATCTGCGCCTCATCAGCCGGTACGAAGATGGCGTTCACCCCACGTCTGGACCTGAAAGACCCGCTGAACCTTATCCGATCACCGGCCGGCCTTGTAGTTCGAACGTCAAGGGCAGGTCGATTTTTGAATTGGATGCTGAGTAGGCGGTACCCTGATCATGCGGCAAAACGGTGTTGTCTCTCTTGCTTGCTTGTGTGTTGTGCGTTGTCCTTGTTATCAGTGTGACTGTGCTGTCTCAGCTGGATCGGATACCGTGGTTCAACCCGTTCTCGTACCTCCACGCACCATGGAGATTGAAGCCGCTGCCCACAACCTGGACTTGGATGGCCCTCAACAACCATGGCTGGAGTATTCATTCTGGGGCAGGAGTGGGTGAAGGTCTACACTCCTGGGGAAATCCAACTATGGCGTCAACATGAGGACGTGCCCGCTTTACCGGATAACACTTTTCGTGTGTGTGGAAGCCGGTGGTTCCAGAGCGTGATGACTCACAGGGCCCTGATGATCATCGTCCGCAACCCGAGCAAGATCAACACTTGCGTCATCACTACGAAACCTGGACCATTCAAGATTGGCAGCATCAAGGTTACCAGCGGATATTGACCCGGCATGAGTGCTTCTCCATCAACATTGCCTCGGCAGGAACGATCGACACCATGCAGAACCCGGATTCCTCCATTCAGGTGGAACAACTAGGCGCTTCACAGCGTGGTCACTCTCAGCATGATCGAGCCCTGATGGACCTCTTCTCCTACTCCCCTCCGCTGGCGGACGCCGCGCATCAGTCCTCGCTGTTCTTTCCGCCTGTCTTACCATCGCTCACTATGCAGCAGGGCGTTTTACCTCCAGCTTCACATGGTGTTCCTGTGTCCCCGTCTTCTGAGTGGCAACGTCCGGATCGTGCTAATTCACGTTCTCCCCGCCGCTGTGGATATTTTGGTAGACACTAGGAGCTTGCTGATTTGGTCTTCCGGATGCAAAAGGTAACGTTCGCGTGTGTGTGTGCGGAGTGGCAGAATACCCTGCCACCACTGTTCCCTAACCGCAGGGGGCACAGGCCCATGGTGGTGACCTGTGCCAACGAAGCTAACCACCATGGGGGAAGCGCGGACTGATCATCCGCGTGTACCTGCACCAGTGACACAAAGTCCTTTTGGCCCTTGGTTTCTCTCGCTGCAAGTGCTTCTTGTTGATTCTGTAGCGGTTTCGATTCTACCGGAAAGCCAAGTGTCTTGCAAGCCGAAACTATTACTCGAAGACCCACACAGCACTTTGATGAGTACCCTCCTTCGGGAGTTCAAGTGTGTTGATACCCAGGTTTTTCTGGTTTAGAGGGACACCAAAGGGAAACCGCAATCATTATGTTCTTTTTGCGGGCGGGAGGGTCGCCTAAACAAAAGCACGCACCCAATAACTTGTGGATTGTAGAGGAACATCCTGTTGGGGAGCCCTTCGTTGGGTTAAATGTGTGAACTTGCAACAGAACAACGTACCCTTGAAGGACAATGGAGTTGAGTAGGGGGGTTGCCATTCACAGCTAGCCCGTTTCAAGAGCACGTCAGGGGTTCACTTTGGGAAATACCCGCCTGTGAGCTTTTGACCCTTCTTGATAAACAGAAGTGAACCGAGTCTAGAGAGGATCGGGCTCGGATCCGAACCTTTCGGAAGCGTCGTTGGATTGCAGCGTTTGACCCGCTTTCTGGAGTCTGAGCCTTGCAGCTGCCACAGAACTCCACCTTCGTCTCCCGACAAAATGGATGCGATGTCGTCTTTGTTTTTGGGTGGGGTGTTGAAACAAACCCCAGCCCTTGGCCATTTGGCCATGGGTCAAAATCCCGTACCCTCAGTGAACATCCCAATCCCCACTAAAATAGGCTCTAAAATGGTGCACCTACCCCAAAATGAGATCCCATTGGATTTGAGAACCACAGCCATGGTTATCATCATCAGCCCCTTGAGCAAACGAAGCAGCCTGGCCGTGGCGGCGCCTGGGTCTGCGCTGCGATGCGGTCGATGTCCACCACCTGAGCACCCGGATGGCCGGGCGGCGGCTGCCAGAGAAAGGCTGTTCTTCGCCACGGTCCAAGGAAGCACGTCCAAAAACTGCGGATGGACAAATCCTTGGATGAAAGCCGGGTTTGAACACTCCGTACCAACTGCGAAGCGGATTGTGTCCTGCAAGGTTTCCAGGGCGGGATTTCCTTGGGGCAAAACTGACGAGCTAAGTTCCTTGACAGCAGCTCACTTGGCCAAGCCCTGATTTACAAACCTCGTTTTGGACATCCACGCCCGGATGTGCTGCTTGCTATGGAGCGAGTGCTTCTCCAAAAGGGTGGAACCTCCTTTCGGTATGTAAAAAGCGAAGCCAAAAGGAAACCCACCATTTGAGGGCACCACAATTTGTACCACCCCCCGGGCAACTAGGCGATTAGAGCCCGCCTGCAGCTTGTGCAGAATGGCTGGAAGATATGCCTCACGAGTCAGGAACATTGCCCAATGGGGTTGATTCCCATGCCCGCATCCGGATCCCCGTTGCCCGGAAAGCCAACTGAGCAGCGGCCAAAACCCATTGGTCTCTATTTGAATTCTATTTGAATACTTCTTGTAGGGCTTACTATGACCCCCATGAAACATATTTCAGACAAAAGAGGCTTTGGTCGCTGAAGTTTCACAAGGCACTCACAATGAACAAGGCAACACTCCCAAACGCAACTGGAGGCCGCCGCGAGTAGAATCAAAATGGCCGCCAGTAGTCCCAGTAGGAGCCTCAGGACCGAAGGATCAACATGGCCGCCATGTCCCCCATTCAGAGCTCTGAGCTACGAGCAAAGGCAACTTGCACAACAATCTTCTCCGGCTGTTGTCGCTGGGAGCATTCGGTGCACAGCGCCTGAAGCGTGCCAGAACTCCGAAAAAGCTTGCTGGTTCTCAGTGGAATCACGAGGCAAGAAAACAGATTGGGAAAACTCCTGGGAGAACCGGCGAATGGTTAAAGCTGCGCACATAGAACGGCATGAGGAACGCATCCGCAAGCCAGCCTGGCGAGCATGACGAGCGGGCCGGTCCCCCTTTTCAACACGCCGACCCAAGAAGCAGAAGTTGAGGGTCCACACCGCCATAAGCCTCAGATGCATACGGCAAAGCACACATCAGTTCGGATGGATGGATGAGTCCCTCTGGGAATCACCAACCCCAACTGGTGATGGATGGGGGATGTCCACCAGCAAAGCTAAACGGGACCAGGGTCCAGCTGTAACCAAATTTGGCTGTGGCTCAAAAAGACGGTACCAAAATAGAACCCTGGTAAGTGGAAACATGGACCAGAACCTGCGTAACCCCTCCTGCTTAATTTTGAGCCACACCCATTTGACCCCTGAGCTCCCGAGCGCATGGACTAAGCGATCCAAGTAGAAGAGGTGCGCTGGGAAGAGAGGGTTCAGCCACAGCAAGTAACTGCCAAGTGCGAAGCGTGTCTCATGCGGACTGTGCAAATCTGATGCGGTTGCTTCGTGGATGACCACCCCACGCAAGGTAAGCCGTGAATACCCCAAGTTTCAAGGGATGTTTACTCTACGAGTACATATAGCACACTTAGGGGGCTTGTTAATAGGGGATATCAGCCACTTACTTGCGGGTTGGACGTCCAACTTGACGTGCATGCGACCAGGCAACCACACACGCCAAGCGCCTAGAGCAGAGCGACTTCTGTGGCTGAAGTGCATCTCGATTGACCTGCACGAAAGCGTCAGCGAAAGATGGTCAATGACGAAACCGATGACAAGAGATCTTACTATTTCCACACCTTCAGAAGCTAGGCCAAGACACGGAACCACAGCGTGTAATTGCGTTGCGCAAGACTGACCAACTGTACCGGCGACTGAGTGAGTGAGCGAGTGAGCGAGTGAGCGAGGCGACCAACTCCCTGCTTGTGTTCCGACGTTTTGATCTCCTGGTTGGGAGCCCTCCTGCCTCAGCATTCACATCTGCTTGGTCAGCTGGCTGATCTCGAGTGCAGCAACCTCTCGATCGACTCGACGTGGTCAATCTAACGGCTCTCCGTTTTGGGTTGCCCTTTACACCACTCCCACAAAAGGGTACCCGCAGAAAACACAAACCCATGTAACAAAAACTGGAGGGGATCCGATCAGTTTCCAGACATCAGCAATAAGTTCGCCCCACCTTTCACCATGACGTAGCAGTAAGAAAAGATCACCTGTCTTTGGTCGCAACCTTTCGGTCGCTGAGCTTCAAGCGCTTTTCCCAGCCCAAAATCCGGCAAAAGGCGGCATCGCCGCGAGGTCTGGCCCTTTGCCGCAACTGGCGCGGCAAAAAACAACTCACTGGGAAGCGCGCAAAGGCGGCAGAAAGTGATGATGCTCACCAAGTGCACGATTCCGACCTCAGGTTCGGGGCGCTTTCAAATTTTGAGCCTTTCGGGCTTCCCTTCGATTTGAAAAGCCCACAGAGGGTCTTCAATTTCAGACATGGCGTCTTACCACATGTCCAAGCCATGCCTTTTCCACCAAGGTCGAAACGGAGACCCATCCTGCGACCGCCACCCTTTCCGCACGCAAGAGGGGCGAACCACACTTCGATTTTCCCGTTGGGATCGGACTCTTTTGCTTTGGACGGTTACAGCTCAGTCGGCAGCCAACACCTTCTGAATGTCCACATTCTCCTCCACAAACTCCTGAACGGCACACGCTTCTTTGCAAGGAACCGAGTTTCCAACTAGGCCAGTCCTGATAATCATCCATGGTGCGATGCTAGCGTCCCATGAAAAGGTTGAATTGTGACTACTGCGTGCTGTGCTGAAGACGTCAAACAACGTCGTGATGAAGAAAACACCCTTCAATGGCCCGACCACAATCAGCCTCCATGCTGAATCCCTGACATGTTCAATTGTTCAACTGCTGGGTGCTCAGTGCGTAAGACAGAATGTAACGCCATGTGCTTTCAAAGTTTCTCCACCACATCTGGTTGCTGCCTCTGTGCTGCTGCGAACCTAGCTCAAAGCACAGCGGGCATATGCCAAACATCTCCAAATCAATTCCTGAAGTGGAAATGTGTCAAAGGCAACTTCTCCAAGTCGGCTCCGGCTTGGTTTCATTCACCAATCTCCGAAAGGACACCATTCAAGTTGGCTCCAGGCTTTCCTGCCAAAAGGGCCATTCAGCCAAGGGGGAATCCGCCCAGCCGTTGACTTCCGAGGTGTAGGGCCCTTCTCAGTTGAAACCAAATGCCTTCCCGGAAACCCATTCCACGTTTTTTGGTGTGTCCATAATATGGCTTGGGCCACAAAGAAATGGCCATACGATCATTTACGGCTTTTTGTCAACAATTTGTTGAACAAATACGGGCTACGGCCAAATACGGCCACCGGCCAGCAAGAAATGACCATACGGGGAAAAACAATCCTACGGGTTCCGGCCATGCGGCTTTCCAGGTTGAATTCGCGCAAGTTTCCAAGGAAAGCAAGAGTGAAGAGGTGCTGGCCGCACAGGCACATGCGACAAAGGAGTGCCATGCGCCTTCCAATTCCCGCTAAAAGAGCGCAGAAACCCTCTTTCAAAACCTAGGAAGTCGCATATCGGACATGGAATCCCTGTGTAAAGGACCGCCATGCAACCCTCATTCCAATCACCCTTGCCTCTCTTGTGAAAGTGCCAGTAGCTATGACCATTCCTCAAGGTACTCAAATTACTGTAACTTCCAACAAACAATGGTTTCAACCATGGTTTCTTAGGTGGCGCGAGAAGCGGAGTTTGCGACCGCCCGCATTTGTGCAACAATATGTCAAGTCCGCTGGCTGGGTACGATCCCTTTGATGTGGCAAGGTGCTCCAGAGGAGTGACACCCCTCTATACCCAATAGGCATTCGAACGGTATGACATCAATCGATGCACATCTGCACCAGTACCAACTGAGAAACAAGGCACATCAAAGCTTCGCAGTCAAGGCCAGGATGCAGGGCGGCTTGACTGCAGGCCATTGCGTTCTTGGAGAGCGGACACATTGCATGAGCAGTGTCAACTGGTCAAAATGCTGGTGTTGACCAAAAAAACCTTCAGCTCCATGATCGCCATGCGAACACAACACCAAGCCCTGCTGGAAGCGGTTTTGAAGTTGAAATCTGGTGCAGTGCACTTTCAGAGAAACATGATCGAAATGGGCTGCCTTGATTACCGGATTACCCAAAACCACGCCAGCCATGAAGGTCCGCTCGCGCGATGTTCCTTTCTTTTCCCGCTCGGAAAGAACGCTCCTGCGTGTCAGCCTGAGACTGGATGGGCCACTGCCAAAAACACCTGGACCATAGACCTGGTGGTGGGATTTGATAAACTTCCTTTAAACATTTCCTGCTAGCGTCTTGGCAACTGTGGCCCGGGTTCGTTTCGCGACTTTCTACCACTTGGCATCTCAACCCCCCATTTGTGGTGCAAAATCGTGTTTCTTAAATGCCTAGGAAAACCCTGCACGCCCCCATACGATATTTTCCCTCCTCCCATTGGCAAATGTATTGGAAGGCACGAACTGTACGACCTCCCGCATTCGTGGGGATTTACAGGTCCAAGTACCTCCCTCTAGCCAACGTGGAGGTCATGTGCAACGCATGTCTGCAAAGAACCTATAGTAGGTCCTCCAGTAGAGAGGTTGGAATAAGGGTGCCTTTCTTTCTGTAGTCTACTGTAGTAGGGGAACCCTCCCCATAAAAGGGCACTACTGGGGGACGTAGTATACAAAGAAAAACTTAACAAAGGACCCGAGATCATCTCCGGGGCTCGAATTGTGGCGGTGACATATCGGTGACGTCGACGCATGCCGGAAAACCGTGCCGAAACCTAAAAACGCGCCCCGGCAACAAGCGGTGACAAGCGGTGACAAACGGTGACAAGCTCCCTTGGCTCAGTGGTGTCTCTGCACCACCCTGGTCTGGGGCTCGAATCCCGGCAAGAGACAAATAGGAATCTGTTTTTGGCGGATTTCCATGCATTTAACCTACTCCAACAAATGCCAGGAAGCAAAGCAACCCTGCTTGGATACCGTTTAGGAATTTAGACCACTAGAGTGATTCCTAAGGAAATTATGACAACATGTCCCGTAACTTTGACCAACATGTACACGACAGCCCGTAAGCGGATGCCCCAAAGGCCCAATGCCAAGTCTCCCGAGGGATTGAACTCCAATTTATCCCCGATGAACGAGTCCTTGGGGATTTCCCATATCAGCCACTTAGGGGACTTGCATGGATGTGGACACTCCTGGGAGGTGGTGGTTTCATGGATATGGGTATGTGTCCCAACAGGAGTACCCAACACATGGTTGCTTCTTTTTGGCTTCCCTTTTTAACCAAGGTGAAACGGCACCCTCCAACAAAGGACGAGCCACCCACTGCGCACTAAGTGGTGGTCATCCGACAAGACTCGCCACTGGGGCAGCGGCATGCGTCGCAAGAGCCGCCGGATGCCAAGAAAGCAACCGGCACAGGGCGCCTCATGGTCAAATCTGGGCCAAAGGCTTCAAGGAATCCTGTTGCTTGCAATTTCCTAAACAAATTGGTCGGACATGGACCGCAGGTTTTAGTCCTGGGCCATTTCCCACTGTTCCATTTTGGGCACCCATTTTTGACCCACAGTCAAATCTCTTAAAACCAAGGGGGAAGTCAATGTCCTGATCCCTGAAACCATGGGGAAGTGCTGCGCTTGAGTAGATGGATCCAACGTAGCAAACTGCGTGTGCAAACAAACAGGCAACAAATTCCTGACACGCTTGGAGGGATGTTAGAGCCACCTAATCTAAGTGGGCAATCCCCAACATGGTGGGATTACTTCTTGGCTGCCCTACAAACTGACCGATCTGCCTTAACGCCAAGACTTGCCTCAACACGCTTTGCAAGGGAAAAAGGCAAATGAAGCAAACCAACCAGAGGTTGTGGCCCATTGGGACGAAAAGGTTCGGCAAAAGACGCATTAAAGGCAACAAAGAAGACAGGGAGGAAAATCCAACTGAATGCCTCGCGAATCCATCCCCGTGCCAGGCGGCAGTATTCGCCAAGTGAGAGGGGATGGCCTGCGCACTGGAAGGGCGCGAAATCTGACTGAGTCACCGTTTCAAGGGCCGAAATTTGCCACCGGGAGGTTCAACGAGCCGGGCTTTCCGGTGTCAGATGGCCCCTGAAGCGCCTGGTCGAAGACTTCCGGGCAATAGCCTCGAGATGCAGCAACTGCCCCCAGGGCTTGGTACATGACCCCCGCCATCTGTGGCGGGAAATTTGGAGAGCTTGATCTAGCCATAGGGCCAAACCCCACCAGCTGGGAAGCATTCTGCCTTCGGGGCTGATATCTTGCACAGCTCAAGCCGCCCAGCTTGAAGTATTGAAGGCAAGCTGAAAGCCGCGAATCCCGGGAACTTCAAAACGTGGCAAACATGGCCCTAGATTGACTTGGCCCCAAAACACCCAAAGACAACCAAAGCAAGGTCAAATCAACCATATGAGCCCAAACACGCGTCCTGGACCCAAGACTCCGCCCTTGTGTACGGTGTCTGTCTGTCTGCCTGCTTGCCTGTCCGTCCATCCGGAAGTCGGCCTCTGTCTTAGGCTTGCCGGGTTTGTCTTCGACCCTCGGCAAACAGCTCAATGTTCCCGGCGAGATCGCCAGCTTTTGCCTTGTCTGAAAGATGGATGCAGGCAAAAACAAACTTGGGAACCTGGCTCACTTTCTTCTGTTTTTCCGCCCCTTTCCCTAGAGGTTGGGCAAAACTTGTTGAAGCGAGATGAAACGAGGACATGGTCCGCAGTGCAGGGAAACCGAACGGAGGTTGCTCAACCCACGGTGGTTGCAACATGTTAGACCAACGTGGCACTTATCAGTCGCCCCTTCAGAGTGAACCCTGTCCTTCGTGGTTTGTAATTTCTCAAGGCCAACCACCAACTTAGCAATCCAGCTAACCCATGTTTCCTTCCCTTTAAAACCCCTGACAAGGAACCCTGTGGCACCACTTGGCTGTGGGTCAAAAGTAGGTACCCAGAATGGAACCCTGGTAGATGGAATCATGGAGTAAAAGATGTGGTCCATATCCTGGTGGATTAATTTTGACTCATACCCACTTGACCCGACTTCCCACCAAGCCCCGAGCCCAGCTAGCTGTGTCACCAGACGGGCCCCCCCGTCCAAGGCGCCGATGACATAGGCGTCCGCCCAGCGCCGGGCGTGCTGGCTGTGACCCGCAAAGGCCTCCGTCCTCGGATTGAGAAAACTTCCATTTGCTTAAGACCCCTGGAAAAAATAGATGTATGTTACTTTTTTGTTTTAAACAATACTTTTCACGTAGTGATGGAATCCCTTTAAACCAACAGGGGAAAATAACAACATATTCTTAAGCAAATGGAAGAACAAAAAGGGACCCCAAGGCAAACGGTTGGTACCCCCCGCTTGGTTGACTTTGGAAGGGGAGCAAATATATACATATATATATATACGTATATATATAATCTCTATATATATATTATTCTAGCAGTCTGGACTTCAACCACTAAACCACAATAAGCAAAAGTGTAAAATGTTTCCCAACAACAACCATGCCCCCGACCCTTCTCACATGGAGCCGTTCGACGCAGCGGGTCAAAATCAAAAGGAAGATGATGGTCAACCAGGACCCGCCCCTTTTACGTCGAACGGTCCCAGGTGTTAGTCTGTGGGCTATATGGGGGTTGATCACTGTCCCCTTCCCCCAAATGAGTAATTTGTCCCACGTGGTCAATATTTCAACCCTCAAATGACCATGTAACTTTTTCCATGTGGTTGACATATCAAGTTTGTTTTCGTGGTTTCACCCGAACTGTCATCCCATGTACAGGACCTTTTGATCAACACACATATATTCCCTTGTAAAGTGGCTGGGCAACCAGAGGGATATAAACAAGAGGAATCCAAACTTCAGCCCGATTGAACAGGGCCAACTTCGCAAAAATGACTGCCTTGCTTGCAGAAATGACGATGGTTTTTTGGGGGGCACGTGGTGTCCTTCCATGTTAGTTTGCAGGGGAGTGCACTTCCGACCTTCAAGCTCATCACCCTCAGGGAAACTCACCTGAAGCACTTGTTGGCACGAGAGACATGAAGAAACCATCTTTCGACCTGACCCCGCTTGGCTTCTACCACCAAACCAATGAGTCATGACCATCTCCCTCCAAACCCTTCCATTTGGTTACGGCCCCAGGAAAAAAGGTTTCCAGTAGTTATGACTTTATTTTAAAACCAACAGGGGAAACAAAACATATTCTTCAGAAAATGGAGGAAACTGAGCATGCGTGTTGATCTCGATGGGACAAGGCACATGAAGCGAATGTCGGCTGGGTAAATACCCGGCAAGTATGGGTAGAAACTAGGCTGGAATTAGGACCCCGGCAAAAAATGATATTTGTTTGCCTGGTAGTGCAAAACAAAGGAAACCCCAAAAAAGCAAAAAACAAAAAAAGGAACAATTCTGGGGAAGGAAATACCCTTCAGCGCGTTGCCCCAAAACTGGAGGGAGCTGAGCGCGCGAATTAAGAAGAGCTCACGGCAAGGCCAATTTGTGTCCCTAAAGACCTGATGGGAGGGGTAGAACATTTGGTAAACCAAAGGAACAACTGTGGAGAGGTTCAAAGTAGATGGCTCAAATCCCTTCTGGAAGAACTCAAAAATGACAAACCGACATGAAGGAATCGTGCCATCTACCTTCACTGATTTCCTTACATATCCTTTTTGAATATCACTAGGGAAACTTGTTGAAACCCAGAGGCGAGAAAGGGGCATGCAAGGTTCCCCGGTTCACCCACCGCAGAAATCGCCTTCAGATCGAACCATTCTACAACTCCAAGCCCAAAGGAAGCAATGGACCCTCAAAAGGGCCTTCATGGTGAGCTTGATCCCGAGTCGGTGAAATCGCTCGCCATATTCGCAAGATGTTGGAACGTTGGCATGAACCAACTTTGTTGGTTCGTTCACCTCTTCTGGGTAAAAGAATTGTGAAACACCAGTCAGGAGTCCAATATTGAAGACCTCTAGTGGTCTTCTTCAAATGAGCCACAGTCAAAATGGTGCCTCTTGGATTCTGTTCACGAAACTATCATTTCCTGATGGTATTTTGCCCACAAATGAGGGTTTCTCAAAATTGGGGGCCATCATGGTGGCTTACATTTTGGTTTCCCTTCTTAAACCCACCAAAAGAGAGTCCCCGAACAGAAAAACAACTAAAAAAAACGCCCAGATCTGCGCTTCCCAGATCTGAGCGGCACGTCGTGGCCCGCGGCGTCGCGGAGCACCGCGCTCCCGCCCGGGTGCTTGTCAAAGAGCCTGGACAGAGACAACTTGAAACCTCGGTTGCTTTCTGCTCCCCTGCTAAAACCTTAACTTTTAGTGGTTTAATGGAAAACCCATCAGTTGGCAAAAATTAAAGTCCTAACATCCAAGCAAAATGCACCAAAGAAGCCACAACGGTTAGTCTCTCAACGCTTGGTTGCTGCTGATCCCTCTGCCAAAGTTTAACTTGTGGGTTTAGTGGAGAACCCTTTGACTTGCCAAAAAGTTAAAGTCTAAAGATCCAACCCAATAGCAGTCAAGAACGTTGGCCCCATTTGTGTTTTTTTTTAACGGAAATGTTCACGGAATCGACCATTCGAGGAAATGGACCACTACTTTGAGGGTGAGAAACCTAGCACCGATTGTTTGACTCGGGTGGACAGAAAGTATAACCTAAATTCATGTGGCGTTGAATGGGTTGCTAAAACATGTTCCTTAGAATACTTGTTTTGCGGTGTAAATCGCCAAAACCTGGTAAGGAGTCAACCTGAAAACATGCAAAGGAACGCTAACCTTCATTTACCTAGGCGGCGATTGTGGCTTAATCAAATTAGCCCAGGCTTTGTCAGGCATGTTGACTAAGAAGGTGAGAGCTCGAGACGAGTCGGGGCAAGAGAAATCCAGCGAAGTAAGGGTGCTCAGGAACCAAACAACATAATTCTGCTGGTTGGATCTGTGCTTCTCAGAACTGCATGTTTCTTTTTGAGGACCCTGAGACGTGAGCATCAGCAAGTGAAACAAACCATTCATCCTCTGAAGGGCATACTGAAAGTATGTTTGTTTAGGAACGGAAGATCGGCAAAGGAAGCAGGAATCACAAATACACAACTTCAAGAGGACGAACAAACTCAAGAAGGACAGGGAAGCCACCAGGAAGGGTGAAAAAAACAACACATCGCAAGAAGCAAAGTTCACAAGCAACAAGGACACGGGTGTCTGGGTGTCAAATAGGGGGTCTGGTGTCTAGAAAGCTTGAAAACATATATGCACATCTTCGGTTTTGCTTGGAGACAATAAGAACACTAGGGGGTACTTAGCACCCAGGCAAGACATTGGCTCTCGTCTCCTTGGCTCCTTGGCTCCTTGGCTGCGGTCACTGGAAGATCCGCTTGACTGCGCTGGCTGCTGCTATTTCAATTTCGAGAATCTGACATGAGAGATCTCAGACTAGATTCGGCGTGTTTTCTTTTTGTTGCTGACCGCATATTTCCCCAAACCACAAAACGCGACATGTACTTGCACAAGAAAATGCGACATGGGCCCCGTTTCTGCACATTTCGCTGGGAACCAAGCGAATCTATGGCCTCCTGCAGCCCAAAACGGGGCCTGCCTCTGAATTCAAGATTGCAGGATGGGCTCTGGGAAGAAGCCAAGTGCATTGACACACAACAAAAAAGCGGCCCGAAAAAACGGATTCTCCTTTTGGCTTCCCTTCACACCAACCCCAGGGCATCAAAAACGCCAGCCCCATGCGCGCCCAGGGGCTCGACAGGCAGCTGCAGGACAAGGCCCTGGATGCTCACCTCAAACTGCCCGCAACAAAAAACAGAACAGGACACCCTGAGCCCCGGAGACCGGAGACCGCAACTGGGCCGGAGCGGCCCAGCAGCCCTGCGCCACACCCTGCGGCACCCGGCGCCACCGGTGCCTCCACAGCTCCTCCCGCCCGATGAGCCGGCGCCGGCGCAGCAGGCTCCAAAACCACATGGCTCAACGGCGGCCCCTAGGCTTCTTGGGTAAGGGAACAAAATATGGGTTTGTGGAGGGAACCCCAAAATGAGGGAACCTCTTGGCTAAGGGAACAAAACACCTTTTGCTTGACAAGGCTGGGGGAGTTGAGGCTCATGCACCGGTCATTTTCAACACCTGTTCAATGACACCCCCAATACCTGCAGCAAAAAATATGAGTTTTTGCGGAGGGAACCCGAAACTGAGGGAACCTTAAAATCTTGTCTGGAGCTGAGGGGAACCCTCAAAATCGTGTCCTTTTTGGCTCTCCTTTAAGAACCGGGCTCCCCCACCAAAAGAGTTACATGTCAGGCTCAACAGGGTACCCGCTCACGCTCGCGGTGAGGAGCCGACCAACCTTTTTGCAAACCAACCCCTGATGTCGCACGTCGGATCGAAGGCGTTTTAGGTATCTCTCCAGCGCCCAGTGCAAGACACTGTCTCTGATTGGTAGTTGAGCTACAAGAAACTAAACTGGAGGTCCGGGGAGTCCTTTGGATTTACATGTTGGCTCCAGCGAGAAGGAGATGCCGGCGTTGCTCCAGGAAAGGTGCTGGAAGACACGCGAGTCTCAGATCTACTCTCCATGGCCAAGCAACATGCGGCAAATGACCCCTTCGTGATTCAAAAGGAAGGAAGGAACAAAACTCAAACCACACGGGTTACAATCACATTTGGCAACGAGCTGCAAGAAGCTTTTGACTGAGGCTGAAGTGGCAGATTCTTCTGCCGCGATCTGGGTGAAATCTCGGGTCGCATGTTTTACAGCGTCATGGGTCTGAACTGCATACCCAAGCTTTCTGCAATGCTTGGCACAATGAGACTGTCTTCCCAACTGCCCTCGTGATCTATTGTGCGCATGTCAACCCATTCGTTTACAGTGGAATACTCCAACTGTCTGTGCGTCAGGTTCCTGGCTGTGTACGACATGTTGCTCCAAGTCTTGCACAACAATTTGTTCCATCAAAGCCAGTGTCAGTCCCAACTGCGAAGCTACTATCTTTCCTGCAAACATGGTCAGCTCTGCGGGCAGGATGCCTGCTCTACGGGAGACTTGCGTAACATGGCGGCAAACTAGATTGAACTTATCCTGTGAGCCCAAATCTCGGGCATCGCATACAAGATATACCTCAGCACCACATACACAAATTCCATAACATGGTGGGATCCGAGACTGGAACTACACGTGTCACAGTTTGACTCCATACTTGGCTTTCTCAGAGCGTCCGTGCAAATGGCCCTCCAACACCCCTAGCTCCTCTCCAAACTAGAGCTCGGCCATGCAGCTTTGCTCTCCATGACGTGCAAATGGCGCCCTGCGGTGCCCAGCTACACTCCGGCGTTCAGCTCCCCAGCAGTTTTGCTCTCCATACTTAGCTTTCTCAGGGGGTGTCCCATTTCAGGTATTTGGGGTGGTCCATGGGGACCCCTTCTTGGATACACTTTTTTCAGGCTGGCTGGGTGCCAAACAAGGCCGTATGTGTTTGACCACCCATTTGTTTCCGTGTTGATTTTGGACGGCTCCTTTTTCTGGGTGGGGACCGCTTTATTTGGGACCCCGCATGAAGGAACGCGGATTAGCGAGGAGCGGCTCCCAAAAAACTGACGGATCCCCTCTCAAATGGCGTGCAGCCTACTAATCAACGGGGGCTCAAAAACCACACGCACAGAAAAAAAAAAAAACAAAAACAAAAAAACAAACACACACACACACACACACCAGGGCCACACAACAAATCACACACACACAGAAAAGAAATTCACGGCCACACAGAATCAGAAAAACAAAACCACCCCGGTCCCCTGAGTCACCGATTTTTCAACACCTCGCTCGACTGGTCCGCTACGCTTTCGCACGCCCTCGCCATTGGCGCTGGCCGCAATGACTTGGACGTCCTCTCGCATGGCCAAAGCTCGGAGTTTTTGGCTCCGGAGTAACCCTCCAAGGAACCCAAAAGGGTCCAAAAAAGGTTCGTCTGGAGAAAAGGGGGGTCTGTCAAATGGGGATTCATCACGTTTGGAGGAGTTGCTCACAAGGGGTACTATAAAACACAACTCGCTGCGCACCAGTTGATAGGCTATCGATAGGTGATTTATTCCAGTATTCACTGGGATTCATCCATCCCAAGCGGTGAAGTGAATATGAACATTGAGATATCCCCAGTCTGCTCCCTTCCACCTTGCCATAGAACCGGAGGGGTCACTGGAATCCTGCAGGTTGGTCACCCAAGGGTCCCTCCCCGTGAGTTCATCAGTTCAGTTCGGTCACGTCAATGTGATTTACCCCCCCCCCCCCTTGGCTAAGGGGTCATCCAAGGGGCGGTTCCAAAACCCAGAAAATACCACAAGTCCGGAAAGGCGGGAGGTTTCTGTGTACCATGTTGTCCTTCTTGCTTTTTGAGGCCAATTTTCCATTGGTTTCCCCAAAAGCTTTAAACTTGCCCCAAAAAAGGTACCCTCAAAACAAAACCATATCAATTTGTATCGGTACTTTCCAGTGGGTGTATCCGGAGATAGGGAACACATCAAACTGTCTCAGCAGCTCTGTGCAGAGGAACCAGGGTCTAGGACGACGACCGTAGGAGACGAAACAGGAGTCTGCCAAAGGAGGCGTACACTTTCAGAACTCAGCAATGCTCCCGAAACGCGAAGGAAACCCAGCTTCAACAAACGAGTTTGCTTAGCATGTGGGTGGTGTAATTTAGCGGGATTTCACTTCTGAGGGAAACACCCCTTTGATTAATCCGCCAGCCTTGTGAGTCTGGGCTATTCCCTTTGCGTATTGTTGCTTATTCCTGATTCCAGCTTAATTCAATTTCCCAGGTATGGTCTCAGGTATCCCTCTACTCACCCATGTCTGTGGAAAATAACGAGGAAAATAACGCTTTTTGTGAAACCAAAGGGGGGCCGTTCAATTTCCTTGCTATCACAAGTGGCGCTAATTTGGCCCACATCGGAGGTACACAACACAATATTGTCAGACTATGCTTCGGACAACAATTCAAAGACGCCAGCTAAACCCCAAGTCCCACATGCCTCTGGAAGTGTGCACATCTTTGAGGCTGGGTACCCTTTCGGGGTTCAACTTTCAGTAGGTTAAATGGACATCTCCACCAAACCAACTAAACACATCTAAAAACGCTAAGGAACCGGATGGCTGGGAGCCATAGCACAACCTTTTTGGAGCCAACCCGAAACCCGCCTCAGTCGTAGAGCATCATGCTCTGCTCCTCGGTCCAACTCAGCTGCACCGGGCGCGAGACGTAGGAGGGGTTGGCGGCGCCGAAGGAGGTGAGGCACTTGACGTAGCGCTCCATGATCAGCCAGTCCCTCAGTTTCACGAAAATCTAAGAAACCAAATAGAGGAAATTGTGTAGGAAATCCAAATGTGTTGGTGGGTATTTGGCTAACTTCCTGTGGAATTTCCTGTAGGTTTCTATGTTGTGCGGCTGAAAGCTATGGGGTCGACAGGCCCAAATAGGCGACAAGGGGTGGTTTGGGGTAATTAGCTTTCAGGGATGGTTCGGGATGGTTCCAGGGGGGTCACCACCATTTTTCTTTTCTTTTTCCCCCAACAGCTGGAAGCTTTGGGGTCTCAGCCCAGATAGGCTTCGGGGTGGTCCGGTAAGGGTCCACGAGGGTTCCACGAGAGTTCCACGAGGTTCTGCGAGGGTGGTGCGAGCACTAAAAAGAGCACCGCGTGCTGTTGGGGATACCACCTGAGCTTACTTTTTTCTTTGGGGGGGGATGCTCACTTCCGAACGAGGGGATTGGCCCCAACAGAGCCCAACTTGTCAACCACAAAAATAATCTAAACGCAAAAGGTGACAGTCCGGAACGGAACTCAGGAAGTAAGAAACCAATGGGTTCCCCCCGCAGTTGGTAGAACTCTTTTCACTACAAACGCAGGCTAGGCTCTTCAGGCTGTACGCAGACACCGGAGACTCCAGGATCTCACCCCGAGAGTTGTTGGCCGAGGATCTTGTGGCCACCAACACTTGCTGCTCCTGGAGCCAGACAGGAAATCTGTTAGGAAATTGGCCTGGTCTATGGCTGGAAGAAACCAAATTTGAGAAGTATATGCGGGCAAGCATGTACAAGCAATAGGTGCGTGCTCTCTAAAAACAATGGAGTTTATAGTGTGAAGACGCGTCAACACACGCATTTGGGCGTGTTCCAACCTTGGCCCACGTCTACGGTACACCCAAAAAACGCAAACATCTGAACTAATTCATATTTAGTCTACACCAAAATGTCGTGAAACAAATGTTTGGAGGAGACCCCAGAGTATGCTTGTGGAGGGTTCTTGTCTGCCCACAGGGCACGAGCACGACGCGCACACACACACACAGCTCACAACCAAACCGAGCCGGGCCGAATCAAGAAGTGAAGCAACAGCGACGAATCACAACACGTCCGCACACGTAGACCAAAACATAACTGCACAAAAAACTTGACCAAGCAACACAACACCACGCCAGTTAAGCACCAAGCAGCGACAGCAACAAACAAATCAAGACCAAGCCAGACAAACAAAAAAACGGCAAAACAAATCCGTACAAGACAGCTGCAAATTCAAGCCAAGCAAGACACAAAGCCCAAAAAGCAGACTCACAAAACCAAACCCCAAAGAACATGAGCCACCCCAATTGCCCCCTGCCTCAAGATCCTGGCACTAGCGCACGCCAACACACTGGGCTCCCGAACCCCAGGGGTCTAATCAAAATGAGTTTTGGGAACCTCAAGGGCCTGTTTCGTTTTTCGTTTTCTTCCCTTTAAAGTAACCCTTAGCCTCAAACAACAAACAAATGGCAACTGTTCGGACGCACACATCTTGACCTTCGCGATCGGTACTCTGCTCCTGGTGCACCTTATACCTCTCCAGGTAGTCGTGCAACATGGCGGCATCCCGTGCGTGGGTGTGGTTCCTGAGCAAAACCCGCGGTTTACGCTGTCTGAAGCTGTGGGGTCTGAAAAGAGGTGTTCAATATCATAGGAACAAAAAACATACACATTCCCTTTTGGCTTCCGCTTGGGTAAATTACTCACAAGCAATTTAGCAGCAACGTATAGTTCCTAGTCTCACTCAGGACCTTTTGACCTCTAACTTGTTCTTCCCAAGTAGTCCAGCGACACAGGATGTCAGTGCAAGTGAATGGCCCTACTTGACACGCCACTGGATTCGGTTCGTTCCTGCGCATAAACCCCATTGGGCAGGCGCAAAAATTGTTGCTTGTCCAATGTATACATGACACTGCAATTCACTTGATACTGTTCACTGCTGGACTTTCATCTCCGAGAATTTGTTAGGTATCATTATTGGTAACTTCTACACTTCTCCAACCTGAAAGTTGCCAAGGGCAACATCTGTGCCAAGTTGATCACGCATGGCTCAGGACAAGAACACAACGAGCGAACTCCTTCCTTTTTTCCATCCGACCTGAGTTGAGGAATCCAGGCAGCTTGGCTCGCCAAATCAGAGGACGAGATATCGCAGAAGAGTTTCACAGCGAAAGAGTTCCGCAAATGCTTCAAGCGCTCGACGGCTCAAAGGTGTGTGAAAGCTCCAAACTCAAAGCTTCCTCATACGTGGCAATCCACCAAACTTGGGGATTTGCGTTTGGGAAAAAAAGGGTCATCTGAATTTGTTGTGTCCCCAATCCTTTTTCAGGGAAAGCCGCATCTAGGCAATTGATTCACCGATCCAAAAGGAAATAAACAGGTTCCACAACAAATGAACCTGCATTCCGTCGCAAACCTCCAGGTCCGAAAGCAAAAACCGCCGCAGATGCGGTGGGCTTTTACCGCGAATCCCACCCCTGCGAACTCTGGGTGTGGACTCCTGGCGTTTCGCAAAATGGGATTCAGACCCCCTTCTCGTCAGTAAACTTCAACCAAGGAAACAACAATCTTAGGAGGCCACTATGTTGAGAACCCCCCTTATATCTACCCAAATTGAGAAACACCTCGGTCTCTGGAGTTGTATATTACATCGTGGGAATGCACCCTTAGAGGAATGACCCAAACCTGTCACACATAACATGTTGTTGTCTACGAATACCCATAACTAGGACAATCTCCCTGTAGTGGCACGTATTCTCAGGGACCCCAATAAAGCTACCCTCTGAGGCTGGTTGAGTTGATCTGGGAGTGTCAAACGGGCCCTGATCAATGGATCGTTGATCTTCCAGACTTCATGCATACGTACCCCAAATGTACATGGTTTGCAGGCTATGTATTGTGCCTTCGTACAAACACGGGCAACAGGTGGCGAAAGAAAGCGCACCAAACCCGGCATTTCCACCCTTTTGGAACAAATTAAGAACAGCACGCTCTCTGCGGTCCTTTGGAAACAAGAGAAAACATACCACCTTTGGCATGTTGAATTTGTTGGGAAAACATGGGCGTTCTACCTCCGAGTGGTGTTACAGCTGCAAAGTCTACTAGAGTTCAAATAAACCAGAACCCACAAGAGCAAATGACTGTCTATCCAGAAGCACCACGTAAACGAAGCAATTTTTCCCAGTGCTCGTACTCCCAGCTACCCTCAGTTTTTAAGGAGCTCAAGGATGTCGCATATTCTCTCACCCGGTCCCTTCAAAGTCAACAGGTCTCAGCCGGTCTTTTTTTGGGGGGTGACCAGGTGGCGGGGAATGAATCCCTCGCTAGCCCATCGTAGCATCTGGGTGCAACTGAACCTGGGCAAATTACTATCGTTCATGAAATGGAAACCAGGAATATCCAGGTATTTTGTAGCCTTCAGGGGTGGAATTGCTCTTCTTATCCGGACCTGGAATGGCTTCAAGTCTCTGGTTAAACTTCTCCTGAACCACTGCAGCATGCGTTCCGCTTCCCGGGAAAGTCGCAACCCTGGTAGTTGACAGCCAAAAAAACACCAAGAGGACCACCTCGGTGCATCGAGACTCTTCTGCTGGATGGGCAGCTGCAAATGTCCCTTGCCCAACTTCCGGTCCAAAGGGATCCAGCACAGAAGCTTCATCGCGCCGATGCCCTGACAGAGGGGAATCCAGTCTACTGGAGAATCGGACCGGCGTCTTTTTGTCGGATGTCCCTGGGTTGTGGAAACCCCCTGGATTTCTTTCTGGAGTTTGGCACACGGACCCTGAGAAAATATCTTAGGAAAGGATGGGTCCAAGAAGTCATACTGTGGACCAACTCCACGCCGATCGGCACCGGCCGATGAAACCCGAATTGAATACTTGGGTAAGCCACTTACCAATTGGTGCCTGGCGTGGGTTTTGTCCATCCACCGTAGTATCAAGTGCAGGAGCAGTTGAGCCGGTAGACTTTTGGGCATGGTGGGAAAAAGCTGCTCTTGGTGATACTAAGGTGGGATTCCCAAGTTTTATGGGGATTCCCGTGGTATCCCACAACCATGCTGGAGGGGCAAAGAATCTCAAGCTTCAGATACCATGCGAAGCGGACGCCAATGAGTTGCAATGAATGGCACACATGGCACACACGCTTTGCCTTGTGGTTTTCCTTTTGACTTGTCAACGTAAAAAGGGTGATTCGGAAGTACCCTCAAACAATTACACAAAACAACCAACCAACCACAAACCAACCAACCAACCAACCAACCAACCAACCAGCCAGCCAGCCAGCCAGCCAGCCAGCCAGCCCGCCCGCCCGCCCGCCCGCCCGCCCGCCCGCCAGCTACAGCCAGCCTCTAGTAAAAACATGAAGACACAAGACTTCATCCCAAGAATCAGCTCCGGCCGTCAAGGCCAAGTAGATGGCGTGGCCCTGGATGAGTGGGTGGTGCTGAGGGATCCAGTCGATCACCACCTGGCTTCCGCTCCCCAAATTTTGGGCTTCGAGGGTCTGGGGTCTGAGGGTCTGAGGCTCTGACGGTCTGAGGGTTTGAGGGAGGGCTTTGAGGGTCCTCACTGCAACCCCTGAAGAACATCCCAACTTTCCCAAAGAATGATTGAGACACTAAGGGCAACCTCCCAGCAAGGGTTGCACCAAGTAGCTGCAGGGACCGTTTAAGGGCTGGGTCACCTGGACCACTCAAACACTTCTGCTGCCAGAGATCGGGATACATCTCCAAGCCCGGGCCAACCGGTTATTTAAACATCTTCAAAGCCACAACGTCCAGGGGCCTGATGCTAATTTACAAAAACTTTGACAATCTTGACATGTCTGTCTCTTTCTCTCTTTCTCTCTTTCTCTCTTTCTTTCTCTCTCTCTCTGTTTTAAAGGGCATCCCCTTTCCGTGAGAGATCAAAGGAACCTCCCCGGGACTTGTTTGTTCCTTCGGAGAAACCAACAGGTTTCAACCGACCGAACCCATTGACCATGTTCGCCCTACCCCCGAAGGAGCGCGGCTTCGGAGCCCCAAGAAATCCGATTCCGGAGAAGAGACACCTCTTTGGTTGAAAAATCCACAACCCCTTCGTCGGAATGCTTCGGAGGCGTGGCACTCTTCAACCAAGTCCCAAGCAAATCGGTCCTCTCAAAACGGCTGATTCCTTTCGGTTCCTCAAATGCCAACCAAAAGGGAGTCCAGCATTTTGAGTTTCTCGTCCTGGGAGGATGCCTGAGCGCATCGCCGGGGTCATTCAGGCTTCAATTCACCGGCTCGCGACAAATCGCCGCGGCGTGGCTTAAGGGGAAGTCATGGGAAGTCCTAGAATTTGTCAACATAATCCTGAAAACGTGGGCCAAATGAACAAGTGGCCAAATGAAGACAGGGGCCAGTTTGTGAGGGACACCGAAAACGTAAAAACCAGCCATGGGGACCTTCAGCACGTGGCCACTTCCAGCCGCACGTAGCACGTCGGCTGAACGTGAAATTCATCGGGCCCATGGATGCACAGTACGAGGGAACCTTTGCAAGGATTGTCCACAAAGCACTCTGGCTCAAAACCACATCCCTCTGCAGATTTCCACGGAGAAGCAAGCCTTGGACCACGCCATCACTTCCTCCGGTAGAGAGCATAGAATAAGGGTACCGTTTCTTTTTTCTGTTGTCGATTTCAGTAGGGGAACCCTCCCAAGCAAAAAAGGGGAGAGAAGGGTACTACTGAAAAAAACTAGATCAAATGTGGGTGCTTCATTTTTACCCGGCAGTTTGTCCAGTTGATCTACCCTATGGGAATTGATCAAACCCAGACAGAACTCACCTGCCTTGGGCCAGAAACCCGCAGAGGTCTCCTGGCAAGGCTGGCGAGTTCTTGAGCTTCCGAATTGGCTGTGGTTGTCAAAACCAATGGAATACCATTTTGGGGTAGGTGAATTCACCACCCGTTTTAGAACCTATTTTAGTGGTTGGATCGGGATGTTCACGAACGAAATTTGGATTTTGACCCATGGCCAATTGGGTTGGAGCCCGGTTTGGAGAGGTTGGCTGGCTTCCCAGATAAGCCTACGCCAATCCGAACCGGCGGTTGCTTGATTTGTGGGGAGAAGTTGGACCCAAAAAAACACAAGCACCCCTTCTAGCTTCCGTTTGAACAACCTACAACTCACGCGCCGGGGTATGTGTTTTATTGACTCACCATCATGTAGGTGGGGACAAAAAGGTCCAACAAAATGTATTTGGGAGGGTGTTCCACCCATCAACCATTGAAACATTGAAACAGGAAGGATCGGCATGTTTTGCTTGTGAGGGTAGCTCCTTTTTTTGGGTGTTGAAGGAAAGAAGCCATTTCTAGAAAACCTCATATGTTGCACACAAAAAACTAACATGCAACAAAAACCGTTCCATTGTTTTCAATATCGATTGGGGATTTGTTCAAGACTAGCCAGCCAGACATGCAACTGAGCAGCCATGACGTCTGTTGATTTGTAGACAGAGATTTCCGAATTTGGAGGCACCCCGGCAGCACAGTTCGAAACGAGCAGACTTCTAAGAAGGCATTCTTGGCGTTGTAGGTGTTTGCGGGTTTGTATTGGTTGGTGTCTTTGTTTGGCTGGTTGGCAGGTTGCCCACCAACCAAGCCAGATACACGAACCAAGCCAGACAATCCAACCAAACCAACCAGAATCCCAAGCCGTCCTTCCGGACCCGTTTGTAGGGGCACTTTCAGCGCCCGGCGCCGCCCCGTCCCGCCTGACTGCCCGGGGTCGTGATCAGCGAGGCGGTGAACACCGGCGCCGCGGGCGGCAGCACCGCGGAGGCGTTGGCGAAGGCGTAGCCCCCGTCGCAGTTGAAGGCCTCCACCGTGAAGGTCACTCGCCTGGAGGGGTGGGGTGGGGTGGGTGGGGGTGGGGTGGGGTGGGTGGGGGTGAGGTGGGGTGGGGGTGAGGTGGGGTGAGGTGGGGTGGGGTGGGTGGGTGGGCGGCCTGCCTGGGAAGCGGGGACACAAAACCGTGGGGACAAATAGCGACATGGATCAACTTGGAGGATCTCGCAATTTCTCGCTTAGAGAATGTTGGGCATCCGCACCGCAGGCATTCCGGATTCGCGGAGCGCCAATCATAGGGGGCAATCCTCACCTTTCGCTCTTCGGAGCTCCGGGGAGTTGGCGCCACTGAAACCAGATGGGTGGCTCGTCTTTTTGGAGGGAATTCGCTTTTTGGGGTTGCTTTAAAGGGACACCAACAGGAAAACCTTTCTTTGGGGGTCCCTATTCTGGGGCACACCCAAATATCCTCCCACTAGATCACCAGTTCCAGACCACAAATTGCCCAGAAACTTGAAATCAAAATCCACATGGCCATGAATGAAATCAACTTGTTTCAACTTCGCCTCTCTCAACTTCTCAACTCACGCCTCTTCGGCCACAGCCCGCAGATAGTGCCTCACTTCAGCTTCCCACAAAGGAAAGATCAATCCTGTTGCCTGTGTTTGCTGGGCTTTTACAGCGAAACCCACACAATTCAGAAACCAATATGCGGTTTGGTCCAAGAAAAACAGCAGACCCTATTGTTTTCGCATGCGCAAAGCAAAGACAGAAGGCGGATTGGCAAATAAACCAAGGAAAGCCCACACACGAAACGACAACAAATAATGGCAAAATAAGGAACAAACACCAAAACAAGATAACACCGAGTTCGAACCTCAGCACCTGACAACAACAAACATAACACACACACACAAACACACACACACACACACACACAAAAAAGAAAAGAAAAAAAAAGACAACGCAACACCTGCCAAAAACAAGAGAGCAATATCACACTAAGAATCAGAAAGAACCCTGACCTCCATCGGAAGGCCCTTAGTGGCTCGATGCTTATGCTTAGGGATGGGACAACAATCGCATTTTGCCACGCAAGCCGGGTCGCTGTAGCTCTCCCCTGTGTGGGCCGTTGGGACCCCGCAGTTCCGCCGCACTTGGCCGATTTTGTCCTCGCAGAACTTCTTCACCTCCTGCGGACTTTTAGCGCTTTTCCCAGATGCGAGTTTCGGGTGGACCGGGACTTCGACCAGCTGATTTTTTCTTGTTTCTCGGGGGACCCGACATGGTGGACATCATTTAGGCAGGGATTTAGGTCCGCCAACAACTTTTGAGGGGCTTCCAAATTAACACAAGTCAGAGGATCTGATGATTCTTCGTAAGCAAACGATGTGTATTTTCGATCCTAAGAATGTTGGGGGCCTCTGTTGAGGTCCAAAACCTTTATTGAAGATCCAGACACCCGTGGAGGATCGTGGAGGGTAGGATGCTCAGGGTTGGGCCCCCACAGGTTTTTGAATGCCGCCGCCTCTTACTTGGCTTCTGGCCTGAGAGTGGTGAATCTCAGCTAATCAGGGTGTTTGTGCTTATTTATCCAATGTCCAAGAGGGCGTCTTCTTGGAGGATGTGTCAACTAGGGGGACGCCAGTGAATCACTCAATGCAGGTGTTCCTTTTGGTCTTTCCCTTTCAAACAAGGTTTGAGAAGCTCATGGCTCTTTGAAGGGCACCCCGCTTCCAAGCTGCCCAAGCTGCCCCCCCAAATATATATATATATATATATATTTGAAACACATAACACAAAACTGACCCCCCCCAAATAACATAACACCAACCTCCTACCTCTGCCAACGTCTTGCGGGCCCTTCCGCAGGCTCACCTGCCGCGCCTCGCCCTCGTACTGCGTGAGGATGCGGAAGTAAGCGTCCTCCGGCAGCATGCGGAGGCTCGGCTGAGGGTGGGACCAGTGGAGGTCGATGCACACCGAGTCCTCCTGCCAAAGACCCCCAGTTGAGTCACTTGCTCAAAACCCGGTATCCAAATGGTCGTAATCCCAGAACCATGTAAAGAATTTAAGAAGGCGGATATCCGCAACTATTTCTGGCTGGGACTGCCCCTTACTAACCTTCATCTACCCGGGTTTTGATTGTGGCTCATTTTGGTTGTCTCAGGCCTCGAAATGTACACCAGAAAGTAGATTCACAAGTCCCTGTATGTAGCCCCGAACATAGCGGGGTCGGGTTGCCCTGGTAGTCACTATGAGCTTCTGGGAATTATGATGACTGAGCTTGGTTTCTGAATCACCCCTCCACGGCTGAGTTGATTACGCCCCCCTACAGTCTCACTTCCTGCGTGCGGGCCAAAACCAGCTCTTTTTGTAGGTTTGCCTCTAAAACGTCCCCAACACTTAACACGCGACGGTCCTGCTTCTTCACGTTCACCCGGGGGTCCGTCCGATGCAGCTGCACATTGAAGGGCGCCGCCACCTGCTGACGCACCGACTGGGTGACCTGCCGCCGAGAAATGCGTCGCAGTCAAAACCTATCGGTGAACCCCAAAGGGAAAATGGAACCAATGGAATTCCAGGAGTCGAAATCCCCGCCTAGTTTTAAGGAGGTGGGGATGGTGAACCCAAAACAAAGGTGAAGAACTTAGCCGGCCGCACGCATTTGACCTAATTGGACTTCTAGCTGGGAGTGTCCTTGCCTGCCCTACTGATTGTGGCTCAGTTGTCCAAGTAGGTAAGCTCAGTTGTTCAGTGACCCTGGAGAAAAAAAGGGAACCCTTTTTTGGGAAGACCATTTTAGTGGGGCAGCCAGCAAACACAAAAAAGGGGGAAAAAGGGGGCCACTGAACAACTGAGTAAGCAAAAGGGGGCAGAAGCTAGCTGACAAAACCAATGGTTCTCCCACTATGTTAGGTGCTTTTTGGAGGACACCTTTGTTTGCTTATGCTAAAAGGCAACCCAAGAATCGCCCCCCTACGGTCTTCAGGTCAAAGGCTTCGTTTCCACCCGCTTCGGGAACGGCCGCTCGGAGGTCAACACGTAAGTGGTACAGCCCCCGTTCAATCGTTTCACCATTTTCACCTGTTTACTAGGTGAGTAAACCATTCTAGCCAAGGAGCAATTTTTGTAGCTTTACCCGAATCTGAAGGTACACAGAAAATCCTCTCAGTCAGGTTCTGCAGATTTCAAACGTCAACCCCAAAGTCAAAAACAAACAAGGTCCTCCAGTAGAGAGGATGGAAATAGGGTACCCGATTTTTTTCTGTCGTCTTTCTTAGTAGGGGAACCCTCCCAACCAAAAAAGGGGTAGAGGAGACCTAGTAACATGACTGGGACCTACTCTCGATCCGTTCGGTCGCCCGGCTCCTGAGGCGTCGATGCGCAGCTGAAGGTCAGCCCTCCGAACTTGGCATCCGCCTGGTCCGCCAGCTTCACCTCGAAGGCTTAAACCGGACGAAACCGGACGAAACGAACCAGCATGCAGAAGAAACGGGCTCTGCCAAAGAGAAACGTGTGTGTGTGTGTGTTTTGCGTGTTGTGTGATAAAAATAAACGAGCACAGTATGTCGCTTTTAGTCAGTTTTAGAGGCGTCTCTAAAGGAGAGACACCATGTTCAGCCCAACAAGCTCATTCTCGTTATACGAACATGGGGCTGGGAGATTTGAATTGACTCCATTCAGTTGTCCAGAGTGGTGGAATAATGCGAACAGCCCGGCTGGTGCCTTTTTGGTTGAAACTGAGCTTCGTACCTTGAAAGGAAGTCCATGACCGGGGCTACTTTCTTTTCTAATTTCATTCTGCCCTGCCTTTACAGCGGTTCAAGAGGGTTCCAATGTCTATAAGTCACTCAAACTGTGCACCATTTCCAGCGACCCACCTAAGTCTCACACAACTCTTGAGACCCGGCAAAAACGCCAACATCCGAATTGCACACCATCTTCGAGGAACAACCTGCGCCAACAGGGAGTTGTTGCCGCGTGTTTCTCTGCGTAACGTATACGTCTTTCGCTTGCCTCGAAGGGCTTCCCGGGAGGCAGCTTCTGCATCAGCGCGCGGTATCTCCGCACCGTGGACGACGAGGATTTGGCGCGTCCCAGCGCCAAAGGTTTTTGCCCCTCGCCCCATTCCGCGCTGAACTCGGCGTCCTCAAGGCATGGGCGTTGGAGGGGGGGGGAGATTGGATGAATTGGCCGGGGCCGCCCGAATTTTCATAGCTGCCCTCCCAAACCAACAGATGTGGATTTTTCCTTTCCAGCAACTGGTAACCCGTGGGGCGAAGCATCCTGGGATGGATGAATTCAAACGCGGCAAAACCGCGGAGTTTGTCCATCAGGCGAAGGTTTTCAGGGGCCGAACTTTCAGATCAGACCTTCGCCTCTGGGGTGCCGGACGTTGCCTGCCGAATCTATCAATTTGGACGGTGAGATGTTTCAAAAACAACAGGGGTCACTGGACTTCCCCTTGATCATTTGATCAATTTCCCCTTGAACATTTGATCAATTTAGTGGCGGTTTCCATTGAAACTGCCACTTTTGGAGGTACCAAAAAGGGAAATGGAGGAAACCCTGAAGAAGCAAACTGGAAAACTGGGTTCACATGGTTCCATTGCGACTTGCCGGGTTGGTGGGCTTACACATCGTCGAAGTCACTGCCTCTGTGTGGCGAGGTTACCCATGGGTTGGAGTCCATCGTCAAAAAGTCACCACAATTCGCCACGGAACGCATCCTCACTTCAATGAAAATATGTGATCATAGGACAATATATTGTCAATAACTTGGCCATTGACTCAATGAGTTTCTTGAGGGTTGCATTTGCGGGCCTCAAGGCCCACAGGGTCCATTCCGCACCATGGGGGGTTTCCATCCAACTGGATTTCCCACAGGGCAAGTGGGGCCTGAACAGGAGCTCTGCGTCGCTAACGCTTGGCCACAAGTCCAAAATTTGGTTGTCTCAGGACCTGTGCGCGTGACTCCAACAAGTGACTGTCCTAATGTCAAATGCTTCAAAGCTCACCATGTTTGAACCATCAGCTATGGTGAGCCCCTGGTTTCAAAACACTTCAACCAAACACACAGCTCACCATTCTTGAACAAAATCAGGTGAGCCATGGGTCAAACCCCTAAAATGGGTGGTGCACCTACCCCAAAATGGTACCATTGGTTATGAACCCTGGCCAGGTGAGCTACGAGCCGAAGGATTTTTTTCCGTCCTTGGCCACCAGTCCGTAGATGTAGACTTTCGCTAGGTCCTTGGCATAATGAAACTCCACCGCTGCGCAAGAGGCGCTCACACTCCTGGCGTTCGTGAAGCAAACTCACAAACTTTAAACGGTCACTCCATAGCCGTTCAGCCGTTCAGGGCGGCCTGACAGAGATTTTCGCTTTATGTGTTTTTCAAGGTCCGAGGCTAGATGGTTGCGTGCGGGGCCCAACAACACATCCGCCGATTGGCCCCAGAGTTGTTCCGGGTGCCAACGTCCGCGAAAAGATGATGAACTAGTCCCTCACTTCCTGAGATCGGCCAAACATGTCGGAACCATTTTGATTACCATTACCACAATGGTCTTCACGCCGTCTAAAGTCCATCTTGGAAAGGAGACATTTCGGTTTCCGGGGAAGATGCAAATGCAACTGGCGCGCGGACGCCTTCCGGCCTTCCGGCCTTGCTGTTTGCACAGCGGTCACAGGACTTCCCCTGGAAAAGTTGCAACTTACTGGTGGTGTCCATTGAACTCACAAAGGGAAATGGAGGAAACCCTGCATGAGGCTCAGGGTATCTCGACATAGGCATCAAGTTCCGGGCTTTGGGGCTGAACCTGGAAATCCCCTAACCCACAAGGGACGGTCTATCCTTTGCCCCATTCTTACTTGGCTGCTTTCTTTGACGACATCCTTTTTCGGGCGTTTTGTTCTGGCCTTACAGGGAAACCAGAAGGACACCAACATGTTTCATGTTGTTTTATTTACTCATCTTCTTCAATGGGGGGCCGGTTCGCTACTTTAAAGCACACTGAAACACTCAACTCGGGGTACTCCTCTTGCGACCGACACGCGCCCCAGTCAAAAACAACAACAACGCCCGTGCGCGCCTCAGCTGCGGCAACCCCGCGAAGAGATCTGAGGTGCCGTTGCAGGTGCCGAGGGTCTTCCGCAGCACACGCAGCTCCTGGGAGATTTTTTCTCGCCGGCGCGGCTAGGTCCTCCAGACAGGTTAGAATAAGGGTACCCTTTTTTCTGTAGTATTTTAGTAGGGGAACCCAAAGGGCACTACTGGGGCACCTAGTCAGGGTCCATATCCACTTGAGCCAAACCAAAACCGTGCCATATGGGGTGCCAAAAAACCTGCTGGGATAGGGTGCTTTAACACCTTGGGATTGTGGCATACCTCCAAAAGGAAATCTGCCCTTGGTCATGTGCCCAACAAGTAAAAAACACAACCTCCTTGACCCAAACCCAAACCCCTCCAAGACAGACCCAGGGTTCCTGAAAGGATAGTATTCAAACACCATGTTTTCCAGGAAGCATGACTCGGTTGCTTTCTGCTCCTGCTAAAAGTTTAACTTTTGGTGGTTTAATGGAAAACCCATTGGTTGGCAAAAAGTTAAAGTCCTAACGAGCAACATGCACCAAAAATGAAGCGTTCACCAGCCCCATCCCCCTACCTTCCCGCGCAGAGGGCACCTCGCAGGTGGCGTCGTTCTTGGCGCAGCTGGACTTCTCTTGGCCGCAGCCCTGGCTTTTTCGGCACCAGACGGGACGGCAGGCGGTTTCGGTTTCGTGGCTGTGGGTCAAAAGTAGGTACCCAAAATGCAACCCTGGTGAATGGAACCAAAGACTAAAACCTGCGGTCCCCTGGGGCCTAATCTTGACCCACACCCACCTTGTGGTTGCTTTTACGATCTCGGGATCCTGAATAACGTTCCTCCACTTGGCCCCGCTGGGAGGTCCATGAGATGCAGAAACGTGGTCTCACCGGAAGACACAAGGCACAGTTGGGCAGAAGTAGATGTCATTCGATGCACATGGCGGACGGCAGGCAGGAATGCAGTTTTCAAAAACCAGCAATTTCCCCATCTGGACTGTTTTTTGGTGGTTTTAAAAACAAAGAGCAAACAAAACACAAAGCAGCAACAAGAGCCGAGAATGAGAATTGAGGAGCAAAGTCTTTAAGAGCAGAGACAACAAATCAGCAAACACACACGATAACGTACTGGCATTGGGCACAACAGACACTAAAGCTTAGAACACTCCCGGTAGCAAAGCCAGCGGCCGTGACATGAACTACCGTCATAAGCAACATCTATCAAGATGTGAGCCTTTAAAGGGTCCAGGACAATTTGCTCTTACGCCACAACATGGCAGACATCCCACAAGGAATCCGAATCCACTTTGTTGTTGTTGTTTTTTGGGGGACAATTAAGTGGGTTTATGGCAGAGTGCTCAAGTTCACCCCACCAAACATGGAACCTCATCCTTTCCAATGCTTTAAGTACTCGGATCTGCGGGCCTCGACAAATGGGTTTGTCTCAAAATTGGGGAACCCCCTAGCTAACAGTTTTTTTGTTGTTGTTAGGTCTCCGTTCCAACACCAACCAAAAGGGGTGCCCTCAAAAAAAGGAAAAGAGACACGCCACATGGAAAGCTCGCACGGATTGGTGATTGTAAAGAGCGCAATTCCCCAGTTTTGGTAACAGGCAACTTCGGCAACCCACGGCCTGGAGGCTCAATGCCAAACACAGCCCTGCCGCCGCTTGTCTCAAGCTCGGGCCGGCGCCCATGGCGGCCGGAATGGGTAGGGTGGGGATTCCTTTTAATTACTTGCTTAGGAAGGTTAGAAGATGTTTTTTGTGTTCTTGTATGTTTTTATCATTAGTATTATTATTATTATTTTTTAAAGTTGGAAGCTGTCTTGTTGAGACTACGCTTTTTGAGGGTGTTTTTGGATGCTCCAATCTAGGGACAGACCCAGAAGATCTATGCGGCTCATGCGAAGAAGAAAACAACAGCTTGAGGATAGGATGGTGATTCTTGGCTGGTCTCGGTTGGCTGGCTGGTGAGGTAGGTTGGGGGCTCCCCTCTGAAGCCTTAGCACGAACGCATCAAACATGTGAGATTTTTGGCATCTTGGCCAACATCCTTGAGGGCTTCCTGCATCTGCGCTGCGACAAGGATCTCAGCAACTCATTGATGTTGGTCAAGACCTTGTCGAGCTAGAATTTCCCTTGTCCATATAGGCGAAGGCTGAAGCTGTGTGACCGAAATCAAGAGTGCCGCGCCCAAGTCCATCAGAAGGTCATTCCCAAGTCTTCTTGACCAAACCCAGAGCTCAAGAGATCTCAGTCAAAGGGAACTTCCCTGCCCAAAGACAACCGACAAGCGTATGGAAAACCTCCACATTTCTCCAAGTTCATGGAGTCAGGAAGAAAACTCCAGGTGATCGCTTGAAAACCACAGGTCTCCCTGACTTCCTTTTTGCAAAAACTCAGAACCTTCATAGGGTTCTTGGAATAGTTTTAAGCACCTTCTCGAGGACCGATTCTGTCTCTCCTAGCTGTTCGCTTCCAAACAAGGCACCCCTCCAAAAAACATAGGCACGCTGCAAATACATGCCCCCTTCAAGCATCACCGGAACTAAAAAGGATTCCCAACACGCCGGGACCAAAAAGTAGTGTCTTGACTCCCCGGAAGGGAAAGGGCTGGCTTGTCCTTTCAAGGTAAGCTTGGCAAATTAAATACACGGACCCCCCAAGAGTGTAGGCATTCTTTTTGAGCCACTGCTTTTAAATTGAATGTGTGCGTTGGGCCGGATTTTCCGATTCAAAAGAGCATGCACATGAATCTGCCAGAAAATGGCTTGATACACCTCAAAACACTAAGGATGTTCGTTTGGGGGGGGGTCAGCAAACCACTATCCCCACAAACCCCCTTTTCTCGCATCGCACGAGCGCCCGGGAACCGCGGGGCTCGGATTCGTGCGATTCCCGGGGGGTCATTTGCATCGCCGGTCGCAACTGGCGCGGGCCCTCGAAGGCCCGAGAGCACATTAGACACATTTCGGCCAGGTCCCTGGCGAAGAAAACAAACAACATAAGCCGAACCAACCTCAATGGAGTCAAGAAGCCCGAAGCGGAGCAACCCAACCTGTAACCAACCCGCAACCTTTCCAAAGCTTACTTGCTGAGTGCATTGAACAAAGAAGTCTGAATCACCAAAATGCTTTCCCAAAAAGTAGAAAAATCAGGGTTGGGCCCAAAGGGAACATGCTTAGAAAAGCACCAGTGACTACCTCACGTCCCGGGCGGATTAGATAAATCGAGTCTGAACTCAAAAAAATATGAAGTCCAAAGCAGTATGAGGTTCGAAAAAAACGCGGGCCAAACCACATCTGGGTACAAAGAAACTCCCGAAAGTGTGTTTTTGTCTGCTTGTTTCGACGGCTCGGAGAAGGCCGCTACCGTGCCCGCATCAGTGGAGGCCCGCATAGCCCGCGCGGGGCAGGTGCCCCTGCTGGGTGCGGTTGTCCCCGATGGCGCTGCGGATCATGGTGAAGGACTGGCGGAGGCCGGGAAAAAAGTACCAAGAGACATGGCCATGGGTTAGTGAACATCCCAATCCAACCACTAAAACTGGTTCTAAAATGGGTGGTGCACAATGGGATCCACAACCACAGCCACATGGACGTGCACAAACCCCTTTGGGAAGCTTCAGTTTGCCTAAGCCTCCTGGGAAAAAATGAAGACAATATAGTAGTGATAGATTCCCTTTAAATCAAGAGGGAAAAACAAAACAAATTCTTAAGCAAATGGAAGGAAGGGGGTCTGAGAAGGACTGCGAACTGGCAGAGGATTGTGTCCATCCACAGTGTAAACCAAAATTTCGGGTAACCTGCCGCCAGATTGGGTCTTGGTCACACATGCGCATGCGTCTTCACAGGTTCCCCCGACGAATCCGAATTAGGGCCAAACCAATGGTTGCAAACAAATCAACGGCAGATATATAATACCATCCACATTGACATGTTAAAGTGCGTGCTTTTGAAGGCACTTTCCAGGAGGGCTGAGGGAAAAAGGCGACGCCTCTGGACCATCAACCCGGCGGATGCGGGGCCTTTGCTTCCACGTCGTTGTGGGCGCTGAACCCGGAGCCTCCCCGCTGAAGCTTCAAGAGATCCTATCGATTCGCAGTCGACTGTGGGTCCAAGGTGGGCTGTTGGGTTGTTGGGCTTTTGGGTTTTAAAAAGACGAAGGAGCCTAGAGTCACCCTCCAAACACACTGATCCAGCTTTGTCTATCTTCCCCGAGGCTTGGGGTGGGGTGTTTTAAGGGATCCAGTCGAGGGGACTTGGGACTGGTTCCTGAAAGCCTTCTTTGGGGCTTCCAACTGTGAAACCCGCCGCGATGCCCCCTTTCTCTGTGAAGAGTGGATTCCCTTACCGCGACCACTCATTTTGAAGACTCCAACTTTCACAGGAAGTGTCTCCATGTCTCGTGGGCCCAAGGGAATTGCTTCAAACACCGGTGACCTCACTTCCTAAGTGGATTGGCTAAAAAACGGCTGAACTCAAAAAGTAGAACTCTTGCAGGGTCCTCTGAGACGAAAGATGGGAACTCGGGCAAAACACCGAGCCCCAGTTCATTCCTTGGAAGGGAAGTCTTTATTGGGAGGCAAGCGTTCTCGCGTGGGGAGCAACAGACTGTTCATCCTGGCTTCTTGATTCATCCGACGTCGACATTAGTAGAATTTGGATTTTGATGAAGACACGCACGTGTCTGCGGGAGGGTAGCCGATAATTGAATCCTTGTTTGCGGTAGGTGTTGGGGAACCTTCCTGGTTTCGTCTTGGGTGACGTTTCAACAAGGGCGGGTTTGCAGGATTCTTGTAACCGTGTTCACAATGGCATAACTGTTCACGGCAATTGAGTGCTTGTGGCACGGTTTCGCTGTTTGATTGCCCCAGAGTAGACTTAAACCCGAGAGTGCTTGACTTCTTGAAGAAAACGGCACGCCCTGATATTTTTCGACCATAAGGTCTCAAAAGCAATGGCCGATCGCCAAGCTGGAACAGAAATTGACCCCCAAGAAACGAAGAACATGCTTTTGTTGGTCAACAGAAGCCCCTTGAAGTCGTGCGATTTCATTTTCCAACAAAAAAACAAGGTTGAGTTCGTGTCAAGGAGTTTCCGGAAAGTGGACGCCCCAAAACAGGCAACATGGGAACCGGACACTAAGGCCTGGGAAATGGAACGGTTCCTATCACCTCTTCCCCCCACTTCCCGTGTCCTCCTCTCCTTTCAGCTTCTTCCCCGTCACCTCAGGGAACGACCCGCACTCCCCTACCTGGACCCCTCATTGGGCGCCTCAGCAGTTGGGAAGTGCAAAGCTCCGCAAGGGTTTGCCCTTGGAAGTCCTCTGTGGTCTTGCGACAAAGCCATCCTCTGGATGATATGGATGGACGAAACCCTGCAACACTTGGAAACCATGGGAAACCATAATTTGTTGGTATGTACAGCAAGTGATCATTCCAGGGTTTCTTAGGTGGTGCAGGAATTTGGTCATCCACAGTACCTCTTGGCGAAGGCAATCCTCTTTGAAGGGCACTTTGACCCATCTTCCAAACGTGAAAGCTCCAAAACCCATCTCGGCATCTAGCCCAATCAACTGACGGCGAAATGCCAGCGATTTCCGGTTCTTGGGTCCTCCACACACAAGTCGCCCGCCCCGTAAAAGAAAGCACTGGGGAAACTCCGAAAAACACCGGAAGCAAACGATAGCTTTTTCATGTGTGTCGCTGCCCAGTTTCCCCGTGCACCAACCCGGGACTTCCCAAAGAGTTGTGCGGTCTCATGATTGTTCTGCCGGCTTGCATCCAAAGACCACGGCACCAGAGTAACGTGGTGCCAGGGAACAAGAAACAACAAAACAATCGTGCACTTGTTCTACTCTTGATTGTTGCTCGGCAGGAGGGTCCCCGGTTTCCATTGTTGGAGTATTCCCCACAAGAGGTAAGCATGAAACCAAAAAAAAAAACTTCCAGGGATCACCCCCCTCAATTTCAAGGGGATGGAATCTTTCAAGGGGTACACACCCAGGCGGTACTTGTGCAAAATACAACAGGAGGGACCTTGAGCCCCTTATCACTTTGACACAAAGGTCGAGGGCCCCATGGAATTGGGGTCGGGTCTGGGGGGTTCTGCATGCTGCGGACATCACTTCTCTTGGCACTACGTGGGAAGCCTTGCGAATGGGAAACTCACTAAAAGCCCTTCGTTCATTTTTTCCCAAAAACAGAAAAACACAACAACTAGGCGTTTTACAGTTGGTCGGCCCTTGCGGGAAATAATCAACACGCACAATAATCCGGATCACCATGACCCAACCAATCCCTCCAAATCGAGTTGCTGTTTTCACGAACTAACAACTCTGACCCCTGCTCCCTGTTCCCTTTAGACAAAAAGGAAACGACAAAGGCACCAATTCTGGGACGTACGTTGGGCATTAAATCGGGGACTCTTTGACTCGTGCACAACATTTGTACGGGAAGTTATGCTGGTGGTCCACCATCCATCTTGGCAGTTCCAACCTTAAATCCTGACTGGTTCAATGGTAGGAACTCCAGGTAGGTCGCTCCAGCCGCCTGAATTTAAGCCACTTGTCCATGGTTCAAATTCCCGTACCCCCAGTCATCCAAACCCCCACTAAAATAGGTTCTAAAATGGGTGGTGAATTCACCAATCCCAACCATGGGATCCCATTGGCTTTGAGCCACAGCCGCTTGGAGTCCAGCCGGGCACTTCATCTCCTTGCTGACGATGTCTTTCCACACGCTCTCTAGGATCACCACCTGCGCTTGGAATCAGGCTGGCATGGACGATTTTTGGGTGGCTGTTGTTCAGGGCACCCTTTTTAGGCTTGATTGAACGGGAAACAAAAAAAGGAAACCCACCACTCTGTGTTGTTTGTTCTATTTCAAGACACACCCAAGGGCTCCCCAAAAGAGCTACTTCGGGTGACTAGCGGCTGGAAGCGCCTGGAGGCTTGATAGATTGACAAGAATAGGAACTAACCTTATCCCAGTCGCAGCCCACAAGGAAGTTGTGTGCTATGGGATGGTCACCACGGTGGATTCCTTAGAAAGCAATCCAAGCTGATGATCTGTCCGTTCAACTTGCTTTTTACTCCAGGAAACAGAACCTCCTGCATTCCCTCTTTGCACGTAGACTCCGGATCGCCAACGGGAGTGCGAAGCAACGGGGCATGCACATGGCCAAGAAGCCGATCATGAAACTCCGAAAGGGGGGCTGCTAGCAGCCACCAAGCCACCTAAGATGTACATTCTAGGGGACCCCAAAAATCACTACCCCCCAAACAAAAATCCGCCCCAAAGTGTCTGCGTATTTTTCTGGACCTCGAAATTCGACCCTTTGCGCCTCTCGCGCTCGGTCACCCGAGCCACCCGGGACCTGAGGCCTGCACTCCGCTAGGCTTCAGCAGCAGCGCCTGGCGCTCGGCCGCTGGGCCGCTGGGGCCCAAAGACTCGACGGCTTGGTTCCAAGAATCGCCTCTCGTTGTTCCTGGAGTCTCCGTGACCCAAGAATGGGGTCATAACCCCATTTTGGGTAATGACCCCTTTGTCTTCAGGGGTGGAGACTGCAGGTTGGATGCCCGTTTTTCTGGGGACCGAAACACACACCAAAGCCATTTTCGAGGGTCTAAGAGAAGACACGCGCCAACAAGACTTTAAAGTGTGTCCAGAAGCTGGGGAAGGGAGCCTACGCAAAATACCGACGTGAGGGCAAGGACTTGCCTGTCCACCTGGAGTCTCCATGTCCGAAACAGGCTCTTGACCATTGCATAAGTCCTGTTCGGACCCGTTTCAAGTCTTCAGTGCGTCTCACAATAGACACTTGACCACCCACAAAACGCATATCCTCCAAAAAGGCACCGCGCCTCCACTCTCGGACGTGAACCCGTAAAACTGGTAGGGCCTCTCAACTGTTGGACATAAGTAAGCCTCCTGTCCGTGATTTCTGGCAAGACAGTCTACCGAATGCCAGCACTCAAAGAGTTCCCTTTGCTACACAGGACCTCATTCCCTGGGTTCTCTGTAGGGTATAAATCTGCTATGTGGGGCTATGAACCACTTATCCAACGCCAGATTTGTGCTCATGCCAGCGAGGCCTGATCTCATGACAGGCAAATAGACCACAATCAAAACCTGGGTAGATCAAACAACTCTTGAGGGATAGTTAGTCCCAACCGCGCCAAAAAAGTGTGCGTTACATGAGGTCTCACATGGTTTTGGGTAGCTCCTTTTAGTACCGATGGGGGTTGCTTGCGACTCAGGTCCTAGGTGAGCTTCGGGTAAAACATCTGCGGAGCGAGCCCACGTCGCCTGCTGATGGACAATGGGATTCTTGGAGACCGCGCAGCAGTAGACTCCCTTGCCTCAGCGGGATGTGGCACGGGAAGTGGTTGATATACATCTATTTATATACAGACATTACATTTCATTACATGTACATATCCACAGTGAATACTTCTGCAAAGTGGGATTGAAGTAGAAATAAATAGTTAGGGAGGTTATGAACTAAGGATGTTCACCACTTACTTACTAAGGATGGTCATCCAGGCATGTTGCGGGGACGGACGGTTCCTTTATTGCCTCGTGCAGAGAAGCCTTCTGTATCAACCAAGGACTACATATCAATGCCAACTTAGGAGTATTCTAGACATCGGAACCCTTTAAACTGCTTGGTGGAATGTGGCGGCAAAGATTTCGGCAAAGGCCACAACAGCTGCAACTTGTGGGTTCTGGCTAGTCAAGCGAGGGGCTCAGAATGGAGTCTTACATGAACCACGATTGAGTTTTCATGTCAGTGTTCTTCATACCCGCGAATAAGTCCAAGTTCCCCGAAGAAGCCAAAGGGCAAGATGCTATGCAAACGAAAGAAGCGTTTCGAGGAACAAAGAAACACTAGCTAAATTTCTCGTGGCTTCAGTGTTACGGCTGACTCCCCAGATATTGCAGGTAGGAACAATTCAGCCTTCAAGCGTGTGTTTGTTGACCTATCCGAAAGTGGACGAACATGGGGTTTTTGGACATCTCAGTAAAGACAAATGACTACCGCTCTGTGTGTTGTGCTATGCTTTATGTCACTTCACCGGTGCCTAGTCCGTTCGTTCGCATTTTTGAGGGGTTTTCTGTTATCCGGCTGGATGACATCCTCTGGGATTGATATGGGACGGTGTCTAACATCTTGCCCGTTTTGAGCTCCTGCTGACACCCCACCGGTGTCGTGTGGGGGCACATCCCATCCCAAAATACCAGATTTACAAGACAACCCAATAAAACAGCCGGGGAAAAAAAGCACGCCCAAACACCAAAATGTGATTTTTGTTGACCCTAAAGGTACTCCTTAAAGCCTGAACCCTGAAAGTCGGCTCGGTGGGATTTCCAGGACCAAGGCCACCCCCTTGGTCCATGAGCTTCTGGTCCGCCACCTCCATCTTCACCTGGATGAGGTCCTCCGAAGTCACCCGAATCAGCTGGACTTTCGGACTTTGAATCGAAGGGCCAAAGGCAAGGTGTTTCCGACCTTTGACAATTCGCTGGGTTGCAAGACCCCGGCCTTTGGGCTGAGAATTGCCCATGTTTGGACGTGGATATGCTTCTTCCACTTAAGTCCTCATTTTGCGAGATATGGCCATGGGTCACAAGCCCGTACCAGTGAACATCCCAATCCCCACTAAAATAGACAAAATGGGTGGTGAATTCACCTGCCCGAAAATGGGATCCTGGTTGTGACCCACAGCATAGCCATCAAGCGGGTCCAAGTGACGAACCCCCATGCCCGACTCGACCCTCCGATTCCTTGACCTTCAGCTTCTTCCCCGTCATCGGACATCTAGTGATGGCGTCCACCTGGCTTGGGCTCGCGCTTCACCCAAACTCTCCCCCCTCAACAAAAAACAATGAACAAATATAAAAAGGCAAAAGAGCAACGGTTCCCCTGTTGTTTGGCATACAACCTGCAAGGGTTCCGAGGTCGAGGTCTCCCAAAAAGCACACACGCCCCACTTTCAGGGAACAGTGGATTTCCCGCGGAAAAAGAACCAAGTCTTTGTTGGATTCAGCTGGGGTTATACTCAGGGGAAATAAAACTCCTTGGTAGGATAACGATTGCTCCGACCCAATCGAAAAGCTTTGCGAGCTCAATTTCCGTGTGCACGAGTTCGGGACACCAGCTTTGTTTTTGCCAACACCAGGAAAGTAGAGAACATATTGCAACACCTCTTCACCATGCCGGGAACAGACTCGTTCTGTACCAACAATGGGCCATCCCTATCACAGCTACACGGGAGTTGAGAAAGTCACCTCCTTTCAATGGGCATGGGAGTATATAATTCGCTACAAGATAATAGTGGTAGATTATATGCGCATTCCTGAACAATCTGCTCAGCTTCCACCTGCCCTGAGTGGGGGACACAACTCGCTGCTTTAAGCAGGGATCCTAACCACCTTCCAAGTGGGGCGCTCCCTCCAAAACACTAGGCATCCATCTAACATTGTGGTGCTTCTCAAAAACGGGAACCCCCTTTTTGGATGTTTTTGAAGGGGAAACCAACACAAACCAAACCCGGTGCTCATTTTGAGAAACACCCATTTATATCACGGTGTTCAAGTAGATGGCACAATTCGCTTGTTGCCAAGTCAGGGGACTTTCCACCAAAATAGATTGGTATTGTTGCCATGAATTACAATCGGGAGTCCCCTCAAAAATGGCTCGTGGAAACAAATTCCCATCATGCCCACCAAAGAGTCCCCAATCAACACGTACAAACAAATATGGCACTCAACTGACTACATCTCAACTGACTAAATCTCTTCTGCCATCCAATTTCACCCAGGGCTCCCCTCGAGCTTTCTCGAACCCCAATTGGAGTGGCCTTCTTTATCTCTGTGGGCGCCGCGGTTGGCGTGAACTCCTGGAGAAAACCGAGCCGTTGGCTTAGCCGAACTCGGCTGCTCCTACATGGGACCCCGAGATCCCTTTTGAGGTATTTTGTCAGGGACATTGGTTTGGCGGATAGATACGTTTCATTCACCACAAGAAAATGGGCATGCGTTGAGCCCATTCTGGGAGGGAACCGAACCAACATCCCCAGCCCCCTAGCCATAACAGGGCTCCCTATATTTCCCCTTGAAACATCACCCCCACCAAGGGACACTCATTTCATGGGCCCAAAAGATGATGTTTAAAACCGCCCAAAAGTGAAATATAGGGGACCCTGCATAAACAAAGCCCAACAAGAGTACTATGAGAGCTTCAACGCGCAGAGTATGCGTGGGCCAAGCCGCTGCTCACAACGATCAATCAATTAACCTTCTGGCTTCGGATCTGTCTCCATAGTCTGAAAAGGAGAAACGCGAGACATACCGGTGCTGTAGCTCTTTGTATTTGTATGGGTAACTTTAAGCGATTGTGGTCAGGAACCCTTTAAGCGATTGTGTATAGCTTCTGGTAAGCGTACATTCAAGCAAACCTTCCTTTGTTCAAATGCCACTTGCTGGTCGACAACACGTGAGGTTCCCCCAAAGGACGTGGCAAAATTAGTGAGCCCCACGGGAAATCAAGTGAGTCCCCCCCATGTCTCTTGCAAATGGAAACCTCAATACTGGTGCGTTTGACCAAACGTAAACCGGGCAACAGCCCAAACTGAAGCTTTGTTCAATCAGCTTACCCTACTTAGCCCTGCCTTGTTGCTTGGTGCATTTTCTTGGGACATCCGGTCCCACCCAAACCAAGAGCAACTCAACTGCCGGCTCCGAGGACGTTCCGAATTGCTTGGGAGTTGGGAGCATGCAAACTGGGCCCGGATGAGTTTGAGTTGGGTCAAAACTAGGTAAACAAAAATGGAACCCTGGTAAAGGGAAACAAGGACTAAAACCTGGGGTCCCTAGTCCCTTGGTTTGATTTTGACGCATATCCATTTAGCACCCTTTGACTAGGGTTGCACCCCAGTGTCCAAAGGTTCTCAGAGGCCTTGCACACCTGCCACGTGCTGACAACTGACAGGAGCCCGAAGGAGACTTCTCTACAAATCACCCATGGTTTGGCCTATTCCTCGGCGGATTCCCTACATATTGGAAATATTGCAAGTCGAATTAAAGCAACTACATCCAGCGACAATTGGATGCATCATGAATCAATGCTCATCGATCTTTGGGTTTGTCGTTTTTGAGGTCACCCTTTTTGCCGAATGGGAGCCCCAAAATCAACCCCGCAATCTGGGGTCTGCCGTGAACCGTAAGACACGCTGGCATCGCTATCTCCAGTTTCCCCCAGAGAAGACCACAGCCTTCCATCGCAATCCCAAGGGCCGACTGAAATGGTTTCCCAGGTCCAGTAGAGAGCTTAGAATCAGGGTACCCGATTCTTTTCTTCTTGCAGTCTATTTGAGTAGGGGAACCCTCCCAACCAAAACTGTTGGGTGGGAAAAGTGGGCACCTAGCTGGGGGACCGAGTTTCTCTTCGGCGCGAGGGATCGGGGAGGCTCCCCCTTCGGGCGCTCCTTGGTCCAGAAGCTCTTGGCTCGCCTCGGAAACCCGCCGAGATCTCCAGGAAATGGATCCGGGGGATTAAAGCGGGCGGTTTCAAAATACCCTACACGTTGGGAATGGTCCACGATGGGGTGATCTAGGGGCCCACCTCTTTTGTGGAAATCACGCCAAAAAAGAGTAATCAAACTTGTGTATTAGGAGGTTGCGACTCCCCCCGAAGAGATCTGAATGCCCTCTCTAAAATAGGACGCCCTCCACTAAACCAGGGCTGAATATTCCGGGACTGTGATTCCGGATGGTGAAGGGCTCAACATGGGCATGATTTGAGGCCAATCTCCTGGTGGGGGCGGTTGCCAAATTTCCGTTATGTACTACTGCTGCAAGCAGTCAGTGTCGCCAGTCAGCGCATCCCTTAAGTGGGGAATAACAACCCCTGACACGCAGTGGTCATCCAATCAGGTCTCAAACAGGCATGGCTCGAAACCCGCTGATGCCTCCAAGTGGCTCGTGTTGGCACGTTTCTAACGTCAATCAACATGGCCGGCGTGGCCGAAAAGGGATTGGTGTCCCAGAAAATTGAGGACAGTGGGGAGTACACACCCACGGACCCGGATAGTCCATCCGAATCAAAAGTTGATCTGACCGCTCTGATGCCTGAGAGGAATTTTGGACAGCTTCCAAGCATGGGATTCGAATACGGAGCCTTTGTACTGCTATGTCTAGCCTCGTTGTCTTCTTGTTTGTGGAAACTCTGCATTCCAAAATTCATAGCAGAAATGGAAAAGGCATTGCAACATGCTTTACCCTTTGAGGAATATGGAGCAAGTCAGACGTTTTTTTACTAGAGCAACAAACATTAGTTTCCCCGGTGGAAACTCTTTGCGTGAAACTCAGTGACAGGGTGCCGGCCGCCCCCAGGGCCGGGAAACAAACTAACTCGGACAAAGAAAGTTTGTGTTCTCAAGGAAAAACAAAGGTTGACCTGGCCGAAAAAAACCGTTAGTTTAGGGGCCCGGAAACAAAGGTTCTGGGGCCGAAAAAGTGTTTTTTTGGGTGGAAACTAACCTTTTTGGCCTTGAAACAAGGGGGCGCAGTTTCAGCGATGGGAAATTGCTGTTTCCAGGGTCGGAAACCACACCTTGTTGGTTTCTTGGGTACGTGCAGCCAAACATCTCCAGCATCACAAATGACACCCCTAGCATCACCAGCAACACCACCAAGTGGCTTGAAAGTTTTTCAGCTGCGCAAAATTGCGCGCAATGCGCCGCGTTATGGTTTGCAACGAGCCCTCTCTAACCTCCTTCCCCCCTCTCCTCCGAGAAGAACAATGGAGAGGGAATTTGCTGTTTGGGGAGGAGGGAGGTATTTGTTGGAACAATGCTTTGCGGAGGGTGAATTTGTCATTGAGGGGAGGGGGTCATGATTGTTCAGGATTGTGGTTGGTGGGGATGCTCGCACAACAACGGGGGGATTGTTGTTGGGGGCGGAGGTTACTGCGAAAAAGGGGGGTGGGGGGAGTGCGGATTGTTGTTTGCGGGGGGGTTTGCTTGTTACCCGCTGCCCCAATAACTGTTGAATTTGATCGTTTTCAGAAAATGAATTTCAACACTAGTGCTACAACAACCGTTCGGGCTTGCGGAGCAAACCGAACCTTGTTGCTGACTTCGCTCGCCGGGAATCCTTAATTGCGTTATTTTCGCGCAGTCCAGTGCATGTTTATGTTTTTTTGCGTCGTGTCATGGGCGGCCGTGCCTAGGACTCGGTGTTGAAAATACCGTTCGTAAAGCCTTCAAAACTCGTTCACAACCCCTTCGCAAAACGTACAATTGCGAAATCACCTTGTTGTTCTAAAGCCGTTCTGGTGCTAAAAGCCGATCTGCTGCGCAAACATTTTAGGGGGGTCAGGTGCGGTTTAATAGTTTTTGCTAACTCTCAGGGGGGGGGGGGGCTGCCCCCCCCCCCCCAACCCCGCCGCTTCTTTTAGAAGGCTGTTGTTCGCCTTTGTGAACGTTGCCTGTAACGCGCGTTCTCCGGCAGCGCCCGTCCAGCCCGCCCGCGTGTCGATCCGATCCGCCTCCGCTCCGCCTCCGCTCCGCTCCGGCTCCGGTCCGGCGATGCTTCTGCTCAGCTCCGCCCCAGCTCAGCTCCGGCACTCATCTGGATACCGGATGCATCCAAATGCAGACAGAACGCATGCCACATGCACAGGAAAGACGAAGAAAGGCGTCACAATTGCACATGAATCATGCATGGACAATGCATATAAATGCACACCGCGTATCGGGCGCATGCAGCGCCAGTGGCCGTGGCTGCGGCGGATCCGGAAAGGTGGCGGAGCCAAGCGCTGTGGCGGAGCTGGAGACGGACCCGTGGCCGGCGCGGAAAAAAGAAATGTTTCGAAACAAACAATTGCCTGGACCAAAAAGAAGGTTTAGAAACAAACGTTTTGGCGGACACAACAAACCTTCCTCTGAAACTTGAGTCGGTGCGCAATGAAACAAACTCACAGCCCGAGTTCACGAAAGGAGTGTTTTCAGCCCTGAAACAATAGTTTGTCCGGAACGTATGCTCAGTTGCCCAAAGGACCTGAGAATAAAAGGTTAACCTTTTGGGACCTCTACTAAAAATGGACCAAACAGGGAAAACCAAAAGGTCAAAAGGTCGGCTTTGAACAACTGAGTATGTTTTGGTATGCGAAACTAACCTTCTCCCAGTGAGTTTCCTTTCAGAGTTTCCCAGAAAACAAACAAACCAAACTCTGCGATGAAACGTTTGTTTTCCAAGTTTCCAAAGTAGCCATTCTAGGGTTTTGAGAGGTTTCCCATGGCAAAACAAACATTCACAGGAAGAGTGTGTTTGCAAGACAGAAACAAACCTTTCGCACGGAAAACGTTTGTTCCTCTATTGGAAACCAATGTTTCGGCGCATGCGACAGAATAATATAAGCATGAGTTCGGAGAAAAAAAGGAAAGCAAAAACAAGTTTTGACCAGAGAAACAGCGGTTCTGTAGACGGCCTTTGTCCTGGCGAAACAAACGTTAGGCCAAGCGAATTGTTAGTTTTTTTCAAAACTAGTTGACTGGTGACTTGCTCCCATGTGCCTTTGAGGGGGGCTTTCTCATTCTCCACAAGGCGGTTTCCAAAGAGGACGACACTGAGCCACAGGTAGCCGCAGGTCGCTCCATATTGAATGCATGCAGGCTTGGGGCGTTCACATTCCTTAAGCCACTTGGCCGAAGGAGACGCCCAAACCATGAATAGGCAAGCTGATGGTCCCAAGAGAGACCTGCCCGTCTTGTACTTCTTGGGGAGAGACAACAGGAGATGATTCCCTTTTGAAGATTTACAGGGCAGGGGCGGGCGTGTTGATTATGCCTTCATTGCACGTGTTCTCCAGCAATGCCAGCTTCTGCCCCCAAAGGTGATGCGCAAGTGCTTCTGGCAACCATGTGGCTGTGTTTTTCCATGGTTACCCACAATGGAACCCTCGTAAATGGCAGCAAAGACTAGAACCGCGTACCCGTAGCTCATTAGTTTTGAGCCACACCCATATTTCTTGAAGCTCAAAATGTAACCTCATTTCAAGGAGTGATCCCCTTTCATGTGTTCAAGCCCCTGCAAAAGGCAACCTTGTGCCCTGGTGCATCCATGTACGAGAAAAAAAGAGCGCTCCGAAAGGAAGCCGAGCCGCATTTGGCTCTTGTCCTTGACTAACAGCTCGCCCTGCCGCAGCTTCTTCTGTGGCCTGACGGCTTGGGTGAAGGAAGTTGTCAGCTTGAAAGGGGCCTGGCAGTTCAACCAAGGAAGCAATACATTGCCTTCTACTGTGGACCGACGAAATCCAGCTATGGATGAAACCTACCTACTGGTGCAGGATGTCCACGATATAAAGTGGTTTGTTGAGTGACTGGGCTATTTAAGGGTCGGTGGGTCCAATGGTTTCGTCTTCCCCAAATACGACATTGATGCGCATAGGGGACCTCCTCCAAACAGGATTTGTTTAAACATGTCCTTCCATTTGGTTGAGACCCTGAACAAACATGAACAAAAAAATCCAGTAGTGATAAATTCCTTTTAAAACCAACAAGGGAAAATAACACATACTCTTGAGCCAATGGACGTTTCTCCCCATCTTCACCTCGACACAGAGCTCGAATGAGGCCCCGCGCGCGGCGTCGTTGACCTGGGCCGCCTTGTCGAGGGCTCGCTTGTGGCGATGGTCCTCGCTTCCAGCGGTAAGCAGAGGCTCTGACATGCCAAAGTGCCCCAGTACCACTTGCGTCTTTCTTTGTTTGAGTTTGAACAAAATTTCGATACATGGCCATGGGTCAAAATTTCCGTACCCCCAGTGAACATCCCAATCCTCACTAAAATAGACTACAATGGGTGCACCTACCCCAAAATGGGATCCCATTGGTTTGACCCACAGGCAAATGGGTGCACAATGTAGGCCCTTCCAAGCGAAAAATGAGAAAAAGGTGTTACCCCAGCGGAGGTCTGAGACCAATGAAACAAGCCTACCCAAAGGCCCCGACAAAAGAGTTGCTTTTACGGCTCGTGAGTGGTATGTTCAATGAGTATCTCCAATATCGGCCGAAAGATGGATTTTCGGAACTGGAACCTGTCCCAAAACCACAATGACGCTTCCTTCCGTAGGGAAGCCACTGACAAATTAAATTCTTGTAACGCATCCAAGCGGAGCAACATGCCACCACACATCAGAAATGGTGGCTCCTTCAAACCACCTTTCCAATTGGGTCAGGCTTCCTGACTTACCAAACATATATTAGGGCCGACTTTTTGGCTACTTCGTTTGAAGGGTGTTGTGGCTTTTGGATGCTTCGGTCCCCAGACAGCGACCGACCGCCGACCGCTCGACATGGAACGCTCCTCCGATAGCAGGCCCTGCTCGGCCCGGGTGAAGGCCTCCAGTTGCTTTAGCTCCTCCTGAACAACTCGGTGCTCGCTCGGCCTTCAAAGCGATACCCATGGTTTCGCCAAACAAAAAAAGCTCATGAGTTTTGTTTTCCGCCAAAGCAGTAACATGTTCTTCCCCCCCCGCCAGAACAAAAACACAAACCCAAGAATAAATAAACAAGTAAAAACAGCAAAGAGAGTATAAAGTCCAGGATTGAGCCAGGGGGTACAACAAGACGTCAGCTTCCGTTTGTACAGCAACAAATCGTCAAATTGGTAACCCAAAGAGGGCAACCTGCAACAAGTCACGCCCAATCTTGAACTGACCTGCCAAAAAGAACTGGAAACAACAAGGTGATCACCTTTTTGACCATCAGACTAAACATGGGAACCAAGAATGCAGAACTGAACAGTGGAAAGGGTCTATCTTGGAAAATTTGGCTTGTTACCTGAATCTCGGGGGCAGGGCACATGTTTTGACCACCGATGGTAATCAGAGTTGCCATCAATTTCGAAGCCCTCATCGGTGAAAGTAAGGGAACTTGACTTTTGTTGTTTGGTTCTATGTGTTGAGTTGGTTCCCCAGATCGTTCCTGGTGCTTAAAACCTACGCTGACAGCTCTATCGCACGTGTTTCCCCAAAGGGGCGTGGAAAGTCAGGTCGTCCTGTTGGTGTTTGTGGATACTTTGGGTGGTCTCCCCATGTCTTTCAACCGACCAGGACCAGAAGCTACAATAAGTGGGTGACGGTCACGGTGACGGTGAATGTTGATCACGAACGATGGGCTCATAGCCACCAAAAGTTTGTTGAATCCCCTAACGAAAGGGCACCCAGGATTGGACGGACCCAGCTTGGGCATTTGAGATGGAATCATTGTGGCTAAAAGCCGCGCCGGCTACTCGCTCTAACTCCTGTTGACCAGGGGCATGACCCGCATTTGGGCAAATTCTATCTCACTAACCAAAAATGAGGGATCCATGAAAGGAAACAGTATGAGTTCTGACAGTATGGGGGTGTTCTACAACTTATCCCGAACTTATGCCAGGAGCCATCTCAAGGCTGCTGCCGACATTCTGGGTAGGGGTCTTGCAGAACGCATCCGGCCACAGACTCCTCCGAACCCAGGTCTGTTTTATTGATCAGCCCCCAGAAGGTATTGGAACACCCAAGGTTCCTTGCAAAGAAGTCCCTCCCAGAGGGAATCTCACAGGAATAGATCATCCTGCAGTTCCTGGGAGGTCGTTTCTGACCCCTTGGATATGAAAGTCACCAAAGCCTACTCTTCCATTTGGTTAAGGCCCCAGTCAAAAATAAATATCTTTCCAGTAGTGATGAATTCCTTTTAAAACCAACAGGGGAACATAAAAACATATTCTTAAGCAACTGGAGGTACCAGCTGTTTTCAGGAACATCCGCTCCGGCCTCCTTGTCCAGACTCTGAAGTCTCTGCTCCTTTTTTCTTTCCTGGCCAAAGTGGTCGCAACGGCCATCCGGAGCTGGGATTTTCAGGTCTTCCCATAGGCGTCCTTTTGGGGGGCAACTAGATGGCCCTGGTAGATGAAACCACCAGGTAAACCGGAATCGCCATCTATTTTTTGACCAAAACAACCAAAAAGGACACCTATGGGTCTTCCATGTAGCCGCGGTGGGCCTTCTCTCTGCCAATCCATTTTGCTTTCTGTGCTGTTGATGCCGTTCGAAAACCAAGCATGGTACCCTCAACAACAGCGCACAGCCATGGTCTCGCTTCAAGACTCAAACTCTCAAAGTGTTCTTGGAAGACTGCCGCGAATGTGTTTCTTCACCCCTATCCACACCTTTAAACATCGGCAAAATCCAAGAAATGCAAAAATCCGGTCGACCGGGCGGGAGCCTATGCATTTCAACAAGTCTAAAAGCAGAAGCCATGGTTGTCCAGTTGTCTGTGCCCGGTGCGAGGCAAAGCTGAGTGGCTGCTTCCCAAACCTACTGCTTTGGCATCTTCTGGGCACTGCCGAAGCGCCAGCCGACCCTAAGATGAGAACTGACTGACCGGCTGAGTTGACAGAGCGAGAACTTGTTGAGCACTCTAACCCTCAGCAGTGGAGCCTCCAAAAAACACGGGCTACCTCAAACCGAGAATCTTCCAAGTTGCTCTTTCCTTGGCCAAAGAAAGTGGCAAACTGAAGCCAATATGTCCCTAAACCAAGAACCAGCAGGAAACTCCATATGAAGTTAGACAAACGTCTGGGTATTTGGCCGTTTGGACCGGACTCCTGTAGACTTTCCGGGCTTCGCTGGTTTCCCGGCAGTGGCCATGGGGGATAAACAGCTACGCTGTTTGGGCTAGATAGTTCCAAAGGGAAGCCCCATGGAACACCGGCTCCAGAACAAACAACAAAAACACAAGATGAACAAAGGAAACATGGACATGCATTGAAGGTCTGGGCTACCACGCAGTTCCCTTCTGCGTCTGTCACCATGGCGAAAAAAGTTGTCCCTTGCCCAATTCCCGCCACCCCCCCCCCCCTCCCGGCCATGATTCTTGAGTTTGCTTCCGAATGACGGGCGCGGCGAATTCCGGGCACGGCAACCAAAAGCATCCGCCTGCTCCTCAAACTTCTTCTGCTGGGCCTGGCATGAAAGCGAAATGCGGGCGAACCTGCAAGGTCCCTGGAAACTTGACCCATGGAACCCCTGCTTCATTCTGGGGGTGCAAATGTGAAGAAACATTTCCGGAAAAGAACAAAAAACGGAATTACAGGGTCAACAAAGCTACAGCATCCCTCGACTTGTCGCATCTGGTCGCACTCACCAGGTCGAGGTCCTCAGTTTAACTCCCCCCTCCTTTTTTGCTACAACTTGGTCTCTTTGCCTCCATGAGGAGAAACCTCTTCTAAACCACCTTCATCATAGAATTGGCTGTGGTTGTCAACAATAGGGTAACCCCAAAATGGCTTGCCCTGGTAAATGGAGACACGGACTAAATCCTGCGTTTCGTTTCCTGGTGGTTTAATTTTGACCCAGACCCAATTCGAGAGTTGGAACTCGACTACCGAAGGATGTCTTCCGGCGCTCATGTATCCGGCGTGCAGCCCTTCTTCAAGATTCCCACTAGGTCCTCCAGTAGGGAGGTTAGAATAAGGGTACCCTTTTACCTGTAGTCTATTTTAGTAGGGAAACCCTCCCCCGACAAATGGGTAGAGAAGGGCACTACTGGGGGACCTAGCCCATCTTCCAGGAGAGTGGTTTCGAACTTTCCGAGATGGTGCACGAGGGAAACCACTTCATTGAGTTTGAACCCAGCGAAGGGGCAGGTGTCGTTCTTCTTCTTTCTAATGCAGGTCCAGTGCCAGCTTTTCGCTCCTGTACAAACTTCCTTTCAAAAGCAAGGATCAGGCCGCATGCTTCGGCGCCGTGTTGAAACCCCTTGTTCTGGTAAACTTTGAAGGCACACCCCTGAGAAAAAAGAACCCCTCCTACAGAGGTCCGGGTAGGAGCCCGAAAGCGCATACCCTGCACGATGGCCACGGGTCCCCCAACAAGTGGGCCTCGTGCTTGGTACAGCGCCCAATACTGCCGGTCAAAACTGAAGAACCTGGCTTTCCACAATACTCCTGTTTTAGTTAGGCTGACATCATACCCTAAAGCAAAGTTCAAGGCCAAGCAGGGGCGGGGGGTGGGGGTGGGCGGGGGTAGGCCTAAAATCCCTTCGGTAATTCACCCCCCCCAGGTCTGTCGAATTGTGCGACGCAAATACAGGTTTTTTTTGGAGTTTCCCTTTAAAACACATCTTAAAGGGCAACTCCTATTTACGAGATCCCTTTTGTGCAACCAAGTCTAGGTCCTCCCGATTTGAGAGGTTAGAATAAGTTGGTACCCCTCTTTTTTTCTGTAGTCTAGTTTAGTGGAGCCCTCCCCCAAAAAAGAAACTGTAAAAGGGCACTACTGGGGGGCCTAGGTAATCCCAAAACGGTTGGATCAGCGCCTGGATGTCCAGCTTCTGCTGCAGCAAGCACTCCAAAATCGCTTCCCGCTCGAAGATGTTCCCCTCGGGCCTGGTAAACACGCGTTCGCGGCGTGTTGGTGAGGATACCAGGGTGCATTTTTTGGAAATGTGGGAAAGGGGATCACTAACCTAACATGGGAATGGAGTTGTGTGAATTGTGCCACCTACTTTCCCCAACTGCACTCCCCGCAAAAACAGCAAACAAACCTGGAATCAATGGTGGCTTGATGAGTGCGCCCTCTTTACTAGACTACATGATCAGTGCTCAAGATGAACAACCTGGCGCCTGTGCTTTCAATGCCCCGGGCAACCCACCTCAAGATCCGTGGGGCAGAAAATGGGTTCCTTCCGATGGACAGAGGAAACGAGAACGACAGAGAGAAAGAAGAGAAAGACGAGGAAAGGAAAGAGAAAGAGAAAGAAGAGACGAAGAAGAGAATGATAAAACCAAACAGAGGGAACGAAGGATGAAGAAGAAGAAGACGGAAAGAGAGAGGCAGAGAGAGAGACAGAGAGACAGAGAGAGGCAGCGAGAGAGAGAGAGAGAGCGAGAGAGAGAGCGAGAGCTAGCGAAAGGAGGAGGAAGAGAGCAAGAGAGACACAGAGAGAGAGAGAGAGATAGAGCGCCTGAGACTGAAGGAAATAGAGGGAGAGAGGCCAGGAAGCTTTGACAACCGCTCCAGCTACCCCGGAGCCCCTCATTGACTCATGTTGTACATAATTGAATTTGCCTGAAGCTTACAAGCAGGGTGTTGGATTGCCCTTGTGATGAAGGTGTGACACAACAACCCCCAACCGCTTCAAACAAATGCTGAACAGGGCTGCAAAAAACACAAACAACAAACGGGTGCCTAGAGAGAGAACACAGCAAGCCATGACCAAAAAGTCAGCTTCAAGTCTTTCAACGAGGGTAAAAAGAAAACTATTGCTAAGCACATGGAAGTACGTTAAGGTCTTATTCCACTCCAAGAAATTGTTCTCAGCGTCCGGCGTAACCACCGGGTCCTCCGATCGAGATTTCGTCTTATGCGAAATCGGCGGGCTTGGGCTTAGGCCTTGCTACACCCAAGGGAACAAGGGAAAGTTGATTTCCCCACCCCGTTGGTTTCCCCACCGCGGGCAGCTGTTCTGCCAGGAAAAAAGGGCACAACCGAATCTTTTCACGGGGGTCATTGCCAGCCAATTCAAAACTTGTAAGCAGAAACACGCCGGATTTAGGGTGGGACGTGTTCTAGCCCCCAGAAAAGAATCAGAGGACAGGTCAAAGGGACCTGCAGGCCCAGTATGGACAACTGCAGAAAAGACAAACGCTATCAGGGCAAGCCAAAAGGGTGCATGAGCCTTTGACCCATTTGGGGTACACAGGCACTCTTTTTTGCAGATCGTGCTGCCTCCGTCCAAACTTGTTGTTTGCCACAAAAATGGTCTTCCCAAGAAATATGAAGTCTGGGCCCCTTTTACACTGAGTGTTTCGTATCCAAGACCAAAATACCATACAGTTTTGAAGGAGACGCCCTATAAAGATCTGTCCCGGACGGATCTCTGTGTTTGTGTTGTCGAAATAGTAGAACCGCGTGTTTTTGTTTTGGGTGTCCCTTACCAATCTAAAAGTGTATGTTCCACGTGCTTAAGCCTGGAACCAATTGTCCAGTAGTGAAATCGATTCCCTTTAAAACCATCAAGGGGCCTTTAGGGGATGTCTTTTTCAACATACATTTCCCTTTAGAACCAACCAGGGGACAGAAACAACAAAAACATATTCCTTTCCCTTTGGAACCGACCAGGGAACTTAACAAACACAAAACAAAAACATATTCCTTTCCCTTTAGAACTAGCCAGGGGACTTAAAAAAGAAGAAAAAACATATTCCTTTCCTTTTAGAACCAACTAACTAGGGGATTAAAAAAAGAAAACATACTCCTTTCCCTTTAGAGCCAACCAGGGGACTTAATCATAATTCAAAAGAAAACATATGCCTTTCCCTTTGGAACCAACCAGGGGACTAAAATACGTATATGTATATTCCTTTCCCTTTAGAACCAACCAGGGGACTAAAAAAACAAAAGAAAAACATATTCCGTTCCCTTTAGAACCAACCAGGGGACTTAAATATAAATATATATATATATATAGAGAGATTCCTTTCCCTTTAGAACCAACCGGGGAACACAAAAAACAAAACATATTCCTTTCTGTTCAGAACCAATCAGGGGACTTAACAAGAAACAGAAAAACCAACATATTCCTTTCCCTTTAGAATCAACCAGGGGACTTGTTTCTTCTAAAAATCAAAAAAACTTTCAGCAAATGGAAGGAGTCTCCAACATGTCGCATAGCCATTGGCTCGCGGCTCCTTGGGCGCCTTCAAGGTCAGCGAGCAGAAGCCGAAGGGCAGGAAACAGTCCGTGCTCATGACTTCCTGACAGCCAGGCAGGCGCCAAAGCAGCTATCCTCAACACGCAAAGGTGAAACATGTGAATATCTCTGAAATGAGTGCAAAGGTGAGAAACACCTGCTACTGCTTCTGAAGGCTTTCTGAAAACCTTCTTTTAAAGGATTGCCTTTGTTGTACAGTCTTAGCCCCCATTCCACCCGAATAGATGTCCTTGAGGCGGAGTATGTTGGGTATCCCTCAAATGATTGCCTCCATTTGCGAATACGTTCCCTTGGAACTTTAACGGCTCACTTCCTGAGTGGATGGACCAAGCAAAGTCCACCTTTTTCATCGACCACTAAAATGGTCTGCTCGAACAGTAAGTCCAGAAACTGTTGGCTTGACAAAGCAGTGGCGGCACAAACATTGCAGCACCGTCCAACCAAAACCGGCCATACTGTCGATGGACGGAATCCTGCACCACTTGGTATGCTTATCCCAAAGGGTTTCATCCAAGGTGAACAGTTTCAAGATGTTGTCCACTTCCCAGTATTTTTGACAATTTCAACGAAGCCGCACCCGGTCCTTGCGGGTCTTCGTGAAACCCGCGTCGGCCCGCTCTTTGGCGGTGAAGAACATCCGGTCATTGGAGTGCTTGGAGTGCCGCGACATGGCGCCTCAAGGCTGCCGATTTTGAAGCAAGGCCCCTGACAATTTTCCACCGATCCCAGAGGGTCCAAGTACCTTCGAAGGAGGCTTTTCCAACGGAAATTCACAAACCGGAAGCAAGTGGTTCGGACCCTTGGACATCGACGGGTGCAACCGTGCATTTCTTAGGCGACATGAAACCAGCATGAGGCCCAACCGATCGAACCCTCTGAGTCACCGACCTGTTCCTGAAGCCCTCCCGCTGCCCCAACACTACTTGAATGCCCACGTAGGCTATTGTTGTTCCAGGCCGTAGACCCCCCCCCGCCTATGGGGGTGGAGTAGGGGTGAGGAAGGTTGGGTGGTTGGGGTGGTTTGGTTTGGGTTGGATTAAGGTTCGTTTTAGGGTTAGTTCGGGGTTGGTTTAGGGCTGGTTTAGGTTGGTCTAGGGTTGATTTAGGGTTGGTTTACGGTGGGCTTAGGGTGGGCTAGGGTTGGCTTAGGGTTGGTTTACGGCTTGTTTAGGGTTGGGGTTGGTAGGGTTGGTTTAGGGCTGGGGTTGAGGGGTGCTTGTGGGTTGAGTTGTGTTCAGGGGCTCGAGGGGGATCATACGTTGGGGCCTGGTTGGTCAACGTAGTTCAGGGCTGTGCCCAGGGTTGCAAAAAAGGAACCTGGAGAAAACTCAGCTTCACAGATTCAGTTTCTCCACATGTAGTCTTCAGATATCTTTGGAGACGCAGCAGTTCCCCCCAAATTGTAGTTGGACCCGGACCACAACTGAGGTGTTCACGCCCGTTCTGGGGGATATGGAGCGTAATCTATCTCTCACTCTCTCTTTCTTCATAAGTAATGTGGACCACGATAAATCAAAACCTGATTCATTGCAATGGGGTGCCCCATGTAGGGACTCCTTCACTTTTGATTGTTCAACTTGAATCTGGGGCATTTGAAAACATCCAAGCAACCTCCGCCGCACCGCCCCTCCAGCCTCAATTCTGCAGTTGCCCGCGGATCTATCCCCGGGCCAGCTATCTACAGTCCACCCGTAGCTGCAGGCATTCCCAGCAATCAGAGAGCGCATCTTCTTTCGCCGGTGCGGGTGAGGAGTGAATTGATACAACCGCACGCAAATACACCCCTGCTTCGTTCACCCTGGCGTCCTAGGCACACCCAGCATTTCTGTGTGTTACTTTTCACATACCCTGGCATGGTTCATCCCGCATGTATGGACTAGTTAACTTCAACTTTTAGGTCATCATGGTGTTCACATGGAAAGTCAAGCGCCAAGCTGACTGACGCGCACACGGAGGAAGACCTCGTGAAATCCGCACAAATTGACCTTCCCACAGTTTGTCAAGTCCAGACAATTGGTTGCCAAAGCTGCCCACTCACGCAATTGCTCACAAGAAGAGTACAGTGAACAAACATCACGAAATCATGAGCAAACATGGTTGCCATGTCTCCTGCCGCCACTCAAACCCTGGCTGACATGTTTGGGCTGGCATGCCTGACTTAAACTTCTCACACGAGTCGAAGCGGTTCAGGGGCTTCCCCCGGCTTCAAGCCTCCGGTTCAGGTTCCGCAGGCTTTTGCCCACGCAAAATCGAAACACCGCGTGGTGTTTTACCGTGAGGTGGTGGTGTCCCGCCAGCGGCTTTTGCGTTCCCTGTCAGTGAATTTAATCCTGAAGCGACCCAAGCGTGTCTCGATAACAAAGTGCTTTCCCAGTGGTAAAATCCCAGCTTTTCAAAGCGCCCGCTCCACATACTTGCCCTGAACACATGTTTCGGAACCAAAAACTCACTTCAAATTGGCCCAACAGGTAAAAAGGTCAAAAGCTTAAAGCCACAGGGGAAGTTTCAGGGGACTGGCGTTTCCCCTTTCAGTCTTTCCCGATCGCCGAACATCCGCCGCTTTTCCGCAGTCCGGCGGAAGGCGGCCGCGCGGAAAGGTCGGGCACTTCCCAGGGCCAGCCATCCCGGCAACCTGCGGGTAGGGAACTCTCCGGTGGCGTAACCGAATTACAAGCTCACTTCCCGTGAAAACCCTTGAGATCCTTCACCAGTCCCAAATAACTCAAAGAGACAGGCAAAACGACAACGACCAAAAAAACCGAACGCGTCGTTTTGCTATGGAACTCTCTCTTGGCCTTGGGGAGGTTCCAAACCTCTGAGGCCCCTGGGCCCTCCTGGCGGCGGTCCCACCGAAGCCGCCGGAGCCGCCGTCACCTCCGCGCGCCCCGCGCGCGGCACCGGAACCGGGCTCGGCGCCGGCGCAGGCGGGGCCTGCGGCCAAATCGCGAGCAATCCCACAACCAACTCAGTACATGTGGCTGTGGGTCAAAGCTAGGTACACAAAATGGGACCCCGGTGAAAAAATATGCGGTCCATTTCCTGGTGGCTTAATTTTGACCCATACCCATGTGTGGTTGAACGCATACCACAGCGCTCCATCTTTCTTTGAATCCGACGTCAATTGGACGGCATTTTAACAAAGCCTATTTCTGGAAGCTCAGGCAAAGGTCCAGCCCAGGGTGAGCGAAACAAGCGCCGCTCAAGTGGCCCGGACTTTCAACTGCACTCCTTTCAGCCAGTGGGATAGACTTCTGACAGCGCAAGCTCTTCAACCGCTCCGAAAACAGAGTTGCCCTATATGTCCCCCCCTGAAAGGTCATCCCACCAATAAAAGAACTCGATCACCTTTGCCCGAAAGGTGAGGTTCACACCAAAAGGGCTACCAGCTCCATAGAAGCAAGCGCGTTCCTGCTTGAGGGGTGCCCTGATTGGATATAACAGCTGCAATCCATTGGGGGTTATAGCCCTGCTAGATCACGGCGAGACAAACACCGCACAGCAATGATATTGAACAGCCCAGCTTGACAACTCTATATACCACTTTTCGTGGCTAGGCCTGACAAAGAAACTGGCCAAGCCAAATGGATTCGCCAACCCACGCTGGCCGACCAACCCCTGCGCCTGCGCCTCTGCGTGCTGAAAGGCCCCGTAGCCGTAGCGCAGCTCGTAGGGCGAGCTCGCCGGAGTCTGGGCCTCCCACTTCTGCCAAACAACTCTGTTCTCCGGGAATGAGAAAATGGGCAGCCAAATGATAGAACCCGTTGAAAAGGTCCCCTGATACCCCCATTCGGAATCCAGCGATTGCTGCGACGCCCTGATCAAATCAAGGAATGGTTCCTGTCTACAATGGTGCACCTCTAAATCAGGGCTCTTTGCAATGGTGTTGGGCAAGTGGCCTTGTCAACTGACCAAGCCTCCCGGGCTACTTCAACTCAATTAAGCCTCATCCGCAATTTCGCGCAGAATTTGGGATAGCCAGGCAACCGGAGATATGTTGGATTCTGTAAAAAAAAAAAAGCGCCAGCCCACCATTTGCTCAGGAATTCGCATAAGTTTCATAGGAAATTAGCCATGAGCCCGAGAGGTGTGATCCTTTGCCCGGATTTCCCGAGACCCGACCCATAGGCCTCGCAGAAAAGCTCAAGGTCAAGCTGATCCTCGAGGCCGAGTTTTCCGGGACGGCGCCAAAGAATTGCGACGGATGTGTCGCATGGTCAAAACGGAAACGACTGAGTAGCGTTGTTTATTCCCTTAAGTAATTGATATGAACATATATCCAAGAATATCAAATCAGAATTTCCGCACCTATACGTATATGTAATGAAGGAGCAAAAAAAAGCTACTCGACTGGAAATCCGCAAAGCGCAACGAAGAAACAACAAACAGCACATTGGCCGGCCGTGAAGTGTCTCGTCAATGGGATAGGTCTGGCACTGACGGGAAACGGGCCCCAACGAGGTGCCCCATAGAACCAGTTCTGAGTGGTGAGTGGGCTAGTCCAATCCAAACAAGCAAAACAAAACGAACACCCGTTGGAGGTAAAACATGGAAACTCCAGTAAGTCTCTCAAAGATCTAAGGTGCTAAGGATCCAAAAACAAGATCCAGGGCAAGTCTACCTTCGAAGGGAATCAACGTCAAAGGGCGTCTTTGATCCAATTGGGAAGCACAAAGCAAAATAATTCGTGGAAGCTACGGAGGCCGCTCAACTTGAACCTGGCAGTGAATCGCTTAAAAGTGAACAACTTCTGAAGGCGAAACCTGGGAGGAGGACCGGTTCCCTGATGCTGCACAAATTATGAGAAACCGTAACCGATGTCTGCCCCGGTTTGCCCATGCACCAACGTGCACCAATCACGCGCATATTTAAGATTCCCCCTACTCCAAATACCCACTGTTTCTAGGGTATTCTTTGGAAAACCTGGTTTTTCAATGTAAATACCTCCTTAAAAACAGTGGCTATTTGGAGGCGGGGGTATAGGTTGCATTTCCCTGATGAGTAGATAGCAACCCTGGAGCCCCCCACATTCCAACCAAGTGACCAAGAATCACGGGAGAGCGAGTTCACTGGATTTAGCTGAAAAAGGAAACGGCAAAGCAAACAAACACGAGCTTCAAACAAAGCAGTCGTCCCGCACGTCCATCGCAACACCAATATGAATCCCCCAACTCAATACATATTCACCCTCACACATATTTCTGGCTGTGCCTTGAAGACCACACATACTGAATGCAATGACCGGGCCTCTCCTGAGCGCTTCCCATGTGTTTTGCTTCGCAAAAACCATACCCCATGTCTCCAGAAAATCCGCACTACATTGGCGCCCCAACCTCGCAGCCAGGGCCCCCAGCCTCCAAGTCTCTGATCTCCTGACGCTCAGGAAACTTGTTCGGGACCTTTTCTGGGCAGCTTGCTCTCAGGTTCTTCTCAGAGATCCGGGTTGTGATGACCTTTTTGGAGGTTTTGGTGAATGGAAGATGGGCTCAGTATGTTGCATCACTGTGCCAAGGCAGAACTTCCACCTCTCCTCAGTGGAAATTAACAGTAACGTTGCTTCTTGCTCGGCTGCCTCTGGAAATTGAAGTTCAAACAGTTCAAACAACCAGGGCACCCAAGCCTAAACCCTTTAGCCCAAAAGTCAGTTGCTCCAGAGGAAAACCCTCCTACAAGGTTCAGTTGAGCGCAGCTCCTTTGTGTGTTTCAGGGAACCCATTTTTAGGGGCTTTAAGGGAAACCAAAAGGCAAACCATAAACTCCCCACAAATCAAAAACAAAAACAGAAAGGTGGTCGCCAAAAACAAACGGATTCCTCCTCAACGATTCACCTTTTGGGTTCCAACTTACTCGGCAGAGTTAGTGACATTTTGACCATGTGTTGCCACTTGTTTGGTCAATGTCCGCCCATTGCTTGGTCGAAAAGCTAAAAACATCGATCCCCCCCAATTTGCCCAATTTGGCCAACATTTTTGGGGGGTGATGTTTGCCCAACTTGTGGGCCAAAGCCCAACAACACCGCCCCCGGCGCCCGAACCACGTGCCCACGGCTCGCTGCTCGCCCTTTCGCCTGGTTCCGCGTCATGAGCTCCGCGGACATGGCGCGGCACCGCGCCCTGGACGCCTCCAGCTCCGCCACTAGCGCCTGCAAAACTCGGTTGGCTGTCTGCCCCCCCGCTAAAAGTGCAACAGTTTGGTGGTTTAATGGGAAACCCACTAGTTGGCAAAAAGTTAAAGTCCTAACATCCTTTGGCAAAATGCACCAAGAAAAAAGGGAACATGTCCCATGGGGTGGCTCGACCTTTTTTGTTGAGCTGGTACCCGTTTTGTGTGGTTGGCTTGAAAGGCAAAGCCGCCAAGGGAAAACCACATCGTGTTTTTTTGGGGGTGTTTTTTCTCTTTTTGTTTGCGGTAGGTGGGGGGGTCTCAACAAAAAGAGACATCCCCCATTTTAATCCACACACTAAGCGCATTTAAAATGGGCGTGGCGACGAAATAGACCCTTGGAACATTATTTAGCATGGGCGAAAGTGATGCGAGCATGACTTTCATTAAAAAACCTTGGACATCGAACGCGGTGATTCATGCCCTGGCACTCTTAAGGGTCCGTATTGATACTCCTAGACTCCTAGCCATGTTGACACATACAAGCTTCCCGGCTTGGACCACCCAACTAGGTCCAGCAGGTGAATATCGCGAATCA